TCCCACAGCGCCGCTCCTCGGCGCTACTGGACCAACCCGGCAGCGCCCCAGCTGCTCTATCCCAGGCGTCCAGATTCAGCTGCTGTTGAAACTGATCAGAGGCAGAGCAACTCTGCCTCGGGCTTCCTGTAGTCAGCCGCTGGTCAGTTTCAGCAGCGGCTGAATCTTGACGCCAGTTCCGACTTAAGTACAAATTCAACTTAAGTACAAACCTACAGTCCCTATCTTGTATGTAACCCGGGGACTGCCTGTATTCCTGAGCAGCACTGTGGTTGCTCAAGGACAGGATTCATCTGCATAAGCATTTTTGAAAAAAGATCATCCATGGTTTTGGGAGGATAAAGAGATGGCAAATTGAATTTGGAAAATTTCGACCTGTTCTAAATAAGCATACATGAACCAGTCAGCCACATCCTTTTTCACATTTTATTTTGTATACATGAAAGATGTGCACTCTAATACATCTCTCAATTATGTCACATTTACAGCAATGTAAGAACAATGGTGTTACACTAGTTTACATGAAAGCAGAATTGGACACATTAAGGTTTGATCCAGCTAGCTTCTGCTTATTCCGACCCTGAACCAGCAAAACACTTAACAATTTGCTTAACCCATAGGGTCTGATTCAGAAAAGTGCTTATGCACATGCTTAACTTTAAGCTTATGAATAGCACCACTGAAACCAATGAGACTGCTTATGTACTTAAAGTTGAATACATGCTTAAGAACTTTGCTGAACTTGGGCATTAGGACCCAGTCCAGTGTCCACTAATGTTAATTGGAATCTTTCTATTGACCTTAAAGGGCATTGGATCAGACCACATTAACCTGGTATCTGGCCAGGACCCAGGCCAGGTGTTTGGTTACACTGCCACACCCACCCCTGCCCTGCAGGGCTCATGTCTGCATGTCTGAGCTGTTCCTCCTGTGTCACCCCCCACTCACTGGCTGTGTCTAGACTGGCAAGTTTTTTCCAGAAAATCATCTGCTTTTCTGGAAAAACTTGCCAGCTGTCTACACTGGCTGCTTGAATTTCCGCAAAAGCACTGACTTCCTACTGTAAGAAATACTACGGAAATACTATTCTGCTCCTGTTCAGGCAAAAGTCCCTTTTGCGCAAAGCTTTTGCGCAAAAGGGCCAGTGTAGACAGCTCGGATTTGTTTTCCGCAAAAAAGTGTCTAGATAGGCACAGACGCTTTTCCGCAAAAAGTGCTTTTGCGGAAAAGCGTCCGTGCCAATCTAGACGCTCTAGTCCGAAAATGCTTTTAATGGAAAACTTTTCCGTTAAAAGCATTTCCGGAAAATCATGCCAATCTAGACGCAGCCTCACTGTATGAGGAATAAGAGAAGTCGGAGGAAGAGTGCTCTTTCTCGGACTTCCTGCTGTGTAGACAGCACCAAAAGCCAAAATAAGCTATTTTGACTTAAGCTATACAATTGATGTTGCTCAAGTTGTGTAGCTTATTTTGGCACTAGACACACCCTTACTGCTTTGCTGCACTGCGGATGCAGTAACTATATAGTCTCCCTTCTTTTCAGTTTCACGCACATAACTGTGGATCTGTTTGCTCTGGCTCTGCCATAAACTTGACACCCAAATCTTCCTCCATTCATCCATGGAGAAAAATTGCACAGAGCAGAGCTTTGTGATGTAGAGTCTCCATGAACAAATTCTATGAACTGCATGAAAAAATGCCAGATAGGAAAACTACAGCAGGTCCAGTGCTTTTCTAATGAGCCTTAGGGAAAGGTGGTGCATTCGCACATGTATTTCTTTTTTACAGGTGACATTTCACATATATTTTTCCAATGGTTGGTTAGGTGTTTATACTAAAAACCAACAACAAAAATCATTTTTCACTTTGCAAAACTGAAAATTAAAAAATAAAAATGTCAGGAATATGACAGCAAAATTCATCAGATGGTTGTAGGATGGCCATGCAATACCCAACATTAAAAAAAACCAGCAGATTTGAAGATATTGATAGGGGAGCTGACATGATTGCTGAGCTCCTGGGCAATGTGTGTGTGTGGGGGGTCTGGCTCCTGGAACAGGTTGGGCCTCAGCCGAAAAGGGGGGGCTGGAGCAACTAACCCTCAGCACTGCCGGATCGACACATTGCCTCCTTGCTCCTGCCAGCCTTATGGTGATGATTCTAAAGGTCGTGAGGCTCTGGCCACCACCGCTAACTGGGAGCCTTGGACCTTTTAGAATCGCTGGGCCACAGGGCAATTGCCTCCCCCACATCAGCAGACCTGATATAATTTTGGGCCTTCATTCACTAATTCATAAATTTTTCATCTTTCACCCCAAAACTGTTGATGAAGGAAAACTGCAAATTTCACATTACTTGTCCAAGGACAAGAGACGAGTATTGTCTAATGACGTCTACTGATATGCTAGGCACTATCAAAGGCTGTGTCTAGACTACATGGCTCCGACGATGGAGCCATGTAGATTAGGATTATAGGCAAAGGCAAATGAAGCCGCGATTTAAATGATCACGGCTTCATTTACATTTACATGGCTGCTGCGCTGAGCCGACAAACAGCTGATCAGCTGTTTGTCCGCTCAGCGCGCTAGTCTGGACGCTCCCCTGCCGACATCAAAGCCCTTTGTCGGCAGCCCCGTTATTCCTCGTGGGATGAGGTTTACCGGGGCTGCCGACAAAGGGCTTTGATGTCGGCAGGGGAGCGTCCAGACTAGCGCGCTGAGCGGATAAACAGCTGATCAGCTGTTTGTCGGCTCAGCGCAGCAGCCATGTAAATGTAAATGAAGCCGTGATCATTTAAATCGCGGCTTCATTTGCCCTTGCCAAAACAACAAATCTACATGGCTCCGTCGACGGAGCCATGTAGGTTAGACGTACCCTAAATGTTAACCCCAGGCAGTATCCTGTAATAAAGAGAGACAGACTAAACTTCATTTACAGTGAGCCTCCCTCCCTGAATTACATTTGATTACACTCACTGGAAGGCTACGTTACGCTGCCTGAACTGAGTGTAAAGGAGCTTTATTGGAAATGCGAGTCAGGCCCAGAGATTCCAGTGCACTGAGCCCCATATTTTGATTTCTCTCCGTAACTGCAGAAGTATTGTTTATAAAATGCATAAATATCTTTTTAGGGGCCACGAGGTAAATCAGGAGAGATGGGGCCTCCTGGTCCCCAAGGGCCTCCAGGAAAGGAAGGACCTGCAGGAGTGAAGGGAGAGACTGGACTTACTGGGACCCCAGGAGCAAAGGGGGGAAAGGGAGAGACAGGAGAAGCTGGCTCTCCGGTGAGTAAGTGCAAAGAGTGGTGTTTGCTAATGGTCATGGCGGAGAGGGACATGAACCAAAAGCCTGGGTGCAAACACTCCTAGATTTTGAGGGCTTTGACTGTGATCTTTAGGGACAGGGACCTTCCTTAGTCTATGATGCATGAACATGTAGAAGTAATCACATCAGTCTGTCAGTGTTGCAATCTCTGGCTGCTCTCTGAGAGACGCATCCAATTCGTTTCTCTAAGTAAAGTAATAGTGGATTAATAATGCTTTACAGAATAAAAGAGACTGTGTCTCCTACGTATTTCCACATGGTTATTAATAATTGATTATTATTGTCAGTCTCATAAGAATTAGTTATTAGGATGAGATCTTGGCACTAATTCAGGAAACCATTTAAGCATGAGCATAACTTTAAACGTGGGTATTCCCATTGACTTCACATGGAGCAATGAAGCACTTCACAATGGTAAAACCAGGCAGCAAAACATTTATATAAGTGCGTGTTTTCACGCACAAGTAACCCACTGATTTCAAGTGGCGTGAAATGGAGAACATTAACATCATGCACGCCACTCAGGGAACTAAATAAGCTTTTCACACTGCAGTTTAATGTTACGTCTGGCTTTTATTTGCATGGTTTAGTATTGCAAAAAACAAAAGTCTTTCTTGATCTCTAGGGTCTTGATGGCCCAACTGGGGAGAAAGGAGAAAGAGGTGACCAAGGGCTACCAGGACCTTCAGGATTACCGGGTCCAATTGGACTTCCAGGATTTACAGTAAGAGTGCAAAAGAAAGAATGAATTTTCAAATTAAATTAAGCAGAGGACAAAGCAAGTACCAAAACTCTGACGGTAACATGTTCAAAAGTGCTTACATGGCGTAGGAGCCTTAGATCCAATTTCAAAAGTGACTTAAAGATCTAGGATCTTTACTCCTAAATTACTATTTATTCTTTCACATAACACAAGAACTAGGGATAACAGAGAGCAGTTAGTAGACAGAATTTTAAAACAAACAAAAGGAAGCATTTCTTATCACAACTCACAATCAACCTGTGGAACTCTTTGTCAGAGGATGGTGTGGAGGCCAAGACTACATCAGTATTCAAAAAAGAACTAAATAAATTCACGGAGGTTAGGTTCATCAATGGCTGTTAGCCAGAATGGGCAGAGCTGGTGTCCATAGCCTCTATTTGCCAGAAGCATTTGATGATTTACCTGCTCTGTTAATTTCCTCTGGGGAACCTGGCATTGGGCACTGTCAGAAGACAGGATACTGGGTGAGGTGGGCCTTTGGTCTGATCCAGTATGGCCATTCTTATGCTTTGCACTTTTGAAAAATGTACCCTGAATGCTGATGAAATAATAGCAGATCCTAACTATACTCTCCATACCCCAATACCCCATACCCTAGAACCCAATACCTGAACCTTCACATGCCATATAATATTGATGCACATGTTCAGGGGAGCAGAAAGGGATGAAAATGAACCATGTTTGTAAATAAGTGCTACGTTCTCTTTCCTTCTTGAAGGGATTATTATTTCTAAATATTTGGCTGTTTCAGAGATGGCTGTTGGTGGAGCTAGACTCTCACTGGTACTTCTGGTTATAGTTATATTGTCATGTTTACAGGGAGAGAAAGGAGAACCTGGAGAAGTTGGGGGAAAAGGAGACCGAGGGGACTCAGTAAGTGTCTCTCTTCATGTTTTCTATACTATTAGAAAATGTACAGGTGAATCTTGTCACCCGAGCTTATTGAAACTCTCCAGTTCCCACACCAGCCACCTTATCTCTGACAAAACAGATCATCATATCTTTTGTGGGCTTCTTGAAATGGCAAATTTCATTTTCCATAACTTTCAGAGGGGTAGCTGAGTTAGTCTGTAACTGGAAAAACTTAAAAAACAACAAATAGTCTAGCAGCACCTTAAAGATTAACAAAACTTTTAGATGGTATCATGAGTTTTTGTGGGTACAGCCCACTTCTTCAGATGAACGGCCACCCACACTTCCCAAATACATAGTTTTCTATAGACTGTGCTTTGTACTTTCACAGATGCATTTATTATGACAATGACATTTTTTACCTTGGTTTTTAGGTATCTGGGCCACCTGGACCCCAAGGCCCGCCAGGTGCTGCAGTAAGTTCTGATTGATTACTTTGGGGAAGGAGGCTTGAGGAGAGATTTGAATGAAGTTAGTGTAATTGCTGTGCAGATTTTTGATGGGGCTTTTCTCACATATGAGAAGTGGTGTGGGAGACAGAGATATCTCAGAGTGAAACTCACAGATAGGCAGCAAAGGTTGGAAGTACTGGCAGAGTAAAGAGAGGAACTGACATAGCAAAAGGTTGTTAATTTAGCTAGGCAGGGTAAGACCATATTGTGATGGGCCTTACAGGTGAAGGAAAGCAGCTTGTTTTTCATGCGAAGGTGAATAGGGAGTCGTAGAGACATGTGATCAGAGTGATGAACCAGGAAAATGATCTTAGCAACATGCCCCGATGCCAGATTGTTCTAGGATACACTCTCTTCATTATCAAACTAGAAGGGTACTAGAAGTATGTCCTAATATGACAAAAACATTATATATGTATGCATGTATATAACTGACAATGTGACATCAGGTTAAGCATATATGTGCTCAGTATGACAGAAGAGAAAAGTTGTATGCAATGTTGTTTTAACCATATTGACCCCATTATTAGACAAGGTGAATGAGATAATATTTTGTATTAGAACCTCATCCACCTTGTCAGAGAAGAAAGGTATAACACTGCACATTTATCCAGGATATGGGGTTTAAAATCATAACAACACATTACCGTTTCTTATCCTAACTGTAGGGTCTTCAAGGCCTTCCAGGACCGAAGGTAAGGCTATAAGCCCTTACTTATCGATATTTTACTTGAGTTGGCTGGAGAATGATGATTCCATGTCATGACAAATTTTGAGGTTACAGAATTGGAATGAAGATAAAACATTTAGACATTTTTGCAAAAGAGAATTATGTCAGGCCCATTTAAGGATTGAAAAGGTCAAGTTTTCAATTCAGGTCTTTCACTGTGACTTGAGAGTTCACCCTGTACCTCAGAAACCTTCCTGATGAAAATATCGCCAAAGGAGATACATTTCTGCAGTATATTTTGGCTTTGCCAAAAGCGCGTTTCAACTAAAAACATTTTATCAAAAATGTTCTGCCCAGCTCTACATTTTAGCTTTGATCCAGCGAGGTGGTTTAAAAGATCTCTTGGTGTTGGTTGTAAGATGTTGATCTAAACATGGAACTACCCATACCGCTCCTGAGTAGCCTGGGTATTTGGCTACCTGAGCTTACCTCAGTCCTAACATATTCATGGTGCCAACCAGAATGGCACCTTTAAGGAAGGCAGTACTTTTGGGACAGATACCAGTTGGCTTTGGGAACTGGTACACTCTGTAAAAACCAGATATATTCATTCCTATTTTGCCTGCGTTTTGGTACACATACAAATACAGAAACGTCATTTGCTGGCTAAACCACTAATCACTACCACTTGCGTGAAAAACCTTTGCAAGACTCAGACCTGGTAGTTTGTGTATATACCAAAAAGATCAGATCAAACAATTCCTGAAGTTTTGGTTACAGGAGAAAGGGGAAGACCACACATGAACTTTTTTGAATTGCCTTAAACCTATTGGTCATATAGGCCTGGTCGCAAAAGATGCAAGTTCAGAAAAATTTAAGCTCCCAGGTTCCTTAGAGCATCTTCAGTCCTGTGGCTATGACAAGTTTGTAGTGGCCTGGAAGAGAACTGGATACCCTTTGGAAGCACGTTAGATGTGAAGTACATACACTAAGCCAAATAGATTTGTTTGTGGGACAATGGTCAATTAGATCCATTTTCACCAAAAAAAAATGCTTTTTCATATCACAATTAAAGGAAAGGTGGCAAAAATGAGTTTTATATACATTCTAGACTTGTGAGAGAACTGGAATTTTCAATTCTATGGGAGTTTTGCAACTTGAAATTTCTTCCACTCTAGAATGGAATGCAAATAACAATTTCAAAATTCCCTGTGTATTGAAATTCAAGCCAAAAATGTTTCTAGGTGATCAAAACATTTTGTTACATCATTGAAACATTTCACTCTGATTATAACATTGTTTATTTTATATTTGATAGTATGAAATTTTAAAATGAACAGTCATTTAGAAGCAGAAAGTCAAAAAGTTCCTTTCCAAAAACTTCAAGATGGAGCATCTCTTTATTTTAATTTTCATTTCAAGATCAAGCTTCATCAAAGGCAACACATTTCCATGGAACACATCACTTTTCACAAATCAACATTTTGCAAAAGAAATATTTTCTGCCCAAAACTTTCTGACCAGCTCTGTTATATACACTTCATTTCCACCTAGTCATCATAGATCTACTTTCTCACTAGGGCATTTATACACTACATGGCTATTCCAAAATAAGCTATTCTGGAATAGTTATTCCAAAATAGCTTATTTCAAAATAGCACGTCTGCACTGCAGGGAAGCCTCAAAATTAGTCGGAGCCAGGCTTCCCTAATGTAGACATGCTGTCTCAAGTTAGAGCCCCAAGAGGCACTGGGAAGGAATAACTTAGAAAGGCCCTGGTGAGGGGCTATTTTGAAATAGCAGAAATGGAGCATCTACAGATGTCTTATTTCAAAATAACTATTTGGAATAGGCGTTATTCCTCATAGAATGAGGTTTACAGATTTCAGACTAAGCCAAAATTACTTTGAATAACGAAATGGCTGAGTAAATGCTCTCATTGTTATTTAAAAATAACACTAGTTATCTCAAAATAATGGTGAAGTGTCGACGCACCCTAATTTCTGAACACCAGAGGGAGGGTAATATATGAACTCTGTTCTCTGTGAGTTCTGTTAGGAGATACTGGCCATGATTCTTTTCTTTCCTGTGCTGAGGTAAATCAGGACTAACCCTACTGAAGTCATTTGAGCTACAATGTTGTTCTCCAGTATGAAAAGAGAACCTGGTCCACAGTATCTAAAATGTCTTTGGTCTCTACTACACTATCTTTGGTACTGCCTTGCCTTTGGAATGGAGAAATGCTTGTTTTAATAGTGATGCCATGATGGGTTTATTTTCTGATCCATTCTTCCTTCAGGGGGAAGCGGGGCTTGATGGAATGAAAGGAGAGAAAGGTGTCCAGGGTGAGAAAGGAGACCGAGGTCCACTGGGATTGCCCGTAAGTCTCTGGGAAGAAAGGAGAACTTGGGAAGCTGTACATAGACCAGTCTTAGAAAGATCCCAAAAAAGAAAGACAGCTAAAGATTTGATTATCTAAAATCAAATTTAGGGACAAAAAGCTGGCCTATGAGCAGCAGTGCCTATTGGCTTTTTAGTGATGGAGAAACCTCAACTGTTTTGGGCAGATGGTTGGGATCAGTATCTGAAACTGGAGAAGAGTATCCCTTAGATCCGTAAAACTGAACTAGGAATCTCAGCAGAACAGGTTCCCTCAAGTTCCTTCTGCTTTCCTGGATAAAAATACTATATGAACATCTTTTCTTATGGACTTATGGCTCATCTCATTTTGGTCCTGCCCTTGAAATGCTAAGATGTGCAAAAATGAAAAGAGAATAATTTACTGAGTTACTTGTAACCTGAAAAAAAGGTTTTGTTCAAGCTTTGGAGTACTTTTTAGTTTATCCAACCAAGTTAACTTATCCCTGTAATTTTTGTAATTAAACCTGATGCCTTCCCAGAAGCAGTAAATGTCCAATTAAGTTTAATTCTTTTCTTGTATATGTAGTAAGGATATGCCATTTCAATTTATTCATGGTTTAAACAGGTACTACTTTGCTGCTCAGTTATATGTTATCAAGAAAGCACCTATGAATTTCAGTAGAGTTAAGCATCAGTGTGGATGCTTTATACCAAAACCAAAGTGCTTTGTGAAGGAAAGGCACAGAGTTTTACCCATTCAGAAAACAAACAGCACTGTAAAAGTAAAAGCACCAAAGTACACTTATGCTGAACCTCACTCTGCCTGGAAACATACACTGCAAAGAGCTTGTTGTGCACAGCTGTGTGATTTGTTGTTATTGGTCTTTGTGTTATCACCTAGGTCCCTTGTCCCGACAGTTTTGGATGAAAAACTGCATGTCTTTGTTTATAACAATGGTGCCAAGATATTTCAAGCAGTGACATGCTAAGTGACTTCAAAAATGAGGATGTGACACATGAAATTTGGTTGGGAAACACGTTACATTTCTTTTCAGCCCTTTTCATCTACAGTTCCTTGTAATATTCTGCAAGTGGCACTAATCAAGAAACAAACTTGCTCTCAGGGGTTCATAATAAAGGTGAAAGCAGAAACTCTTCCAATATCACATTCACCCTCAAAACGATAACTGGGTAATAGATGTAGAAGGAAAGTTTTGTTTAGCATTTGTAACCAAAGGCTCTCTTTTGGTCTGCATGACAACAGAAATGTGGCCGAAAAGGTTACTGAGAAAACCTGAGCAGAAGACACAGGAACATATTGTCTACCCAAAGCAGAGGGAATTAACCCAGCAGGTCTTAGCTGTGTTTATTGAAGGCCTGTGGCTGATTCTCCAAATGAAATGGTCCTTCTCAGAGAATATAGCCCTATTGTGATCTCATGGTTTTTGGTTTGATCCCCCATTCAACATTTCTGAAGTCACTTGGCTGTTAAAGACCTAGCTCCACTCTTTTTCTAGATTTTAAACCTGATGTCTTCTCAACTCCACTTTTAATGTTTAATACTTAACGTTACGAAATGTTTAATGCTTGGTGGTTTAACAAAAGTCAGCCACATTAAACACAATTATTGAGTTAGGGCAGCCATTGACAGTTGTTAGCAAAATATTTAGTGAGATGTAGATGGATTTTTTTTGTCATCTTCAGTGGAAATGAACTACTTAGTCAGGACATATAAATACTCTCTTGCTAAGATATAAAGGGTCTGATCCTGCATGTTTTCAGAATGTAGATCCCTGTATGTGGTTAAAATATTCTTCACAGAGATACATTGTAGATAATGTGTTAGAAATAAATGTTTAAAGCAGTACAATCCCACTGAGCTTAACTAAGGGCAAAACATTGGACCAGAAGTTGGCATATCGACTTTAAACCATTTTGGCCCGGACCCACAGAGGGATCCAGAGAGAGAGAGACTGAGAGACTATCAGGTGTCTAAGGATCACCTGAGAGATGGGACACTGAGGCCCTAGGCCGCCTATTCTAATAACCCCTTAATTATTTATTCACAGAGGAACAGGTTCAACAAGAGAGACTGCGGGAGCCCCACATTAAAGTATCTCTTAGTTCAGTGACTGATTGGCACACTCTCCCAAGGATGGGAGACCACTGGTCAAATCCTTTCTCCCCCTTAGGCAGAAGGAGAAATTGAACTTGGATCTCCCACAGCCCAGGGGGCTCTGGCTACCGGGCTAAATATTATAAAGTCATCACCACCACTAATAGTAATCATAGTAATCATTCTGAAGAGGATCCAATTTGGTAGGCAGTCGCTGAGCACCCTGAGTATACTTCAGTGTAAGACTCAGGAAGACATAGAAAGCAATAATTCAAATTAAGGATCAACAGTGACCCTCCCCTAGTTGAAGTTGAATCAAGATTCCCAATGTAAGTCTGATTTTCAACCACTCCTAACAGCTGCCTTAGCCCTTATCAGATGGCTAGACTATGCAGCTTCTCTCTGTGTGAAGCAAGGGCAGTTTTGAAAATGTAAATGTGGACATCTCTACCCAACAGACATGTCCAGCTGGGAGCTCCCTGAGGAGTGGATGGCTCTTCAGATCCTATCGACATATGGCTGGATTCCAGGCACTGCGATTCCACTCTAGTACCTGTCACAGATAATCCAATGCTGTGCTGGCCAGCCTGGCACTGTCATTGCAAGAGTCATAGGCTCCACTGTCACAATGCCCTTCTCCTGGCCAGAGCAGCTTCTCTTGCGAGTGGCCACCGAGCTGTACTTTGATACAGTGTCAGAGGGAATGTTGCATTTTCAAAGGTAGCTTTGAAGGCAGTAGCCAGTATGACATGCATTCAGTGTCTCTGTGTTTTCACTGGTTTCCTTGTAAGTGGCATCACCTGTCCTTGAGATCTGAGTTTTTGTTTTTGTTTATTAGGAGCATATGTTTGTCTCAAGTCACTGCTTCACTCACGTCTTCCCTCCCCCTTTCCTTTTTCTCCCCTCACCTCCCATTCCTTCCTTACCTTTTTTGTTAACCCTCTCCCATCTGTTCAGGGTGCTTCAGGTTTAGACGGCAGGCCTGGACCACCGGTGAGTTCCATTTCTCCATTACCCTACACACCTCTTCCCTGAAACTGTGATGTGTCTTGTCCATCCCGCCGTGCCCTCATTTACATTATGAGTAACTTTATTTTCCCTGAAGATGGATAGGATGCCAAAATGCTAAATTAAGATATTGTCACTGAGAGGTGAAAGACTGCTTTCTTGTCACTCTCAGTATTGTAGGTTCATTTGGGACCAGGGTTTTAGATTTAATCACGTCAACATTATTTTTACTTTTTTATTTTATTATTACTACCAGGATTATATTAAATGAAGTCTCTGCATGAAACCATTATGAAATGTACTTCTGTCCTCATATTGTGAACTGTCTGCGTCTTGTCTTTCTCTGTGGTAGCCTTGTTTACAGCCTTGTGCAACAGCATCTCCTCAGACTTGTCTTTGACATAGTAACACCTTGTGCTTTTTTATATGGCCAAAAGGCTTTGTTGTGTACTGTTTTCACACACACCATTTAGGACTGCATTGCAATGGGTTGCCTGTGCAGCTCTTAGTATAACTTTAAATGCACCTCTCCACAAGGAGGAGATGCATGTGAGAAACCGTCTACAAACAGCATTAGCTATTCCTTTGTGAACCCCCACTCACCACACAATTTCCTGAGCTGCAGCAACTTCATAAATGCTTTTTCCAAGTCTTAAAAATAATTGGTGGAATTTTTAACTTTAATTCTATTCATCTGGGATGCAGAGATGTCTAATGGCTGCGCATCAGGCTGAGATCCAGGACTGCAAGGTTCTATCCCTCATGCCATCATTAATTCACTTTGAGACCTGGGGCAAGTCAGATAATTTCTCTGTGCTTAAGTTTCTTAAGTTTTAAAGGGGGGGGGGGAGGAATTATGATGTGAACCCAATTTTAAAAAGCACTTTTGATCCTTGATGAAAATTGTGCAAGGGCAAAGAATTAATATTTCTTCACAGGATGTTATACCACCTCCAAATATAGGCAGGTCTAACTTTTTCAGAGGTACTTTGATTTCTCCTTTTTCAGTGGCACAGGAATTGATTTAATTGTCCCATAACTCCCACCAAACAGAAACTGAATGGCAACTTCTAATTTGCATATTTGTTTCCAGAAGTTGTATTTTTAATCTTCTAGATATTCCCTTTGGATCTTTAGGGACACAAAGCCTTAAATTATCTTAAAATGCAGAAAATATTTAAGTAGTTAACATTTCCATGGTCCACTCATGCTCCCTTGCATGAATTCAGGGAGTGTTTTTTGTATCTTGTTTACACTGAAGTGGCATAAGTGTCATGATGAATTAAAGAATCATAGAGCTGGAAGAGACCTCAGGAGGTCATCAAGTCCAGCCCCCTGCCCAAAGCAGGACCAACCCCTATTAAATCAAATCAGCCAGGGCTTTGTCAAGCTGAGACTTAAAAACCTCTATGGATGGAGTTTCTACCACCTCCCTCCCTCCTAGTAAAATAGTTTTTCCTAATATCCAACCTAAACCGCCCCCACTGTAACTTAGGACCACTGCTCCTTGTTCTGAACAGCCTCTCTCCTTCCTCTTTGGAACCTCCCTTCAGGAAGTTGAAGGCTGCTATCAAATCCCCCCTCACTCTTCTCTTCTGCAGACTAAACAAACCCAAATCCCTCAGCCTCTCCTCCTAGGTCATGTGCTCCATCCCCTTAATCATTTTGGTCACCCTCCGCTGGACCCTCTCCAATGTGTCCACATCCTTTCTAGGGTGGGGGGCCCAGAATTGGACACAATACTCCAGATGTGGCCTCACCAGAGCTGAATAAAGGGGAATAATCACTTTTCTAGATATGCTGGCAATGCTCCTCCTAATGCAACCTAATATGCCATTAGTCTTCTTGGCTACAAGGGCACCCTGTTGACTCATATCCAGCTTTGTATCCATTGTAATTCCCAGGTCCTTTTCTGCAGAACTGCTACTTAGCCATTCGGTCCCCAGCCTGTAACAATGCTTGGGATTCTTCCATCCCAAGGGCAGGACTCTACACTTGTCCTTGTTGAACCTCATCAGATTTCTTTTGGCCCAATCCTCTAATATGTCTAGGTCACCCTAGACCCTATCCCTGACCTCCAGCGTATCTATCTCTCCCCCTAGCTTAATGTTATCTGCAAATTTGCTGAGGGGGCAATCCATCCCCTCATCCAGGTCATTAATAAAGATGTTGAACAAAACCAGCCCTAGAATCGATCTTTGGGGCACTCCTCTAGAAACCGATCGCCAACCTGACATCAAGTCCTTAATCACTACCCGTTGGACCCAACAGTCTAGCCATCTTTCTGACCATCTTACAGTCCATTAATCCAATCCATATTTCCTTAACTTGCTATCAAGAATATTGTGGGAGACCATATCAAAATCTTTGCTAAAGTAAAGGTATCTCACATCCACTGACTTTCCCATATCCACAGAACCAGTTACCTCATCATAGAATCCTATCAGATTGGTCAGGCATGACTTGCCCTTCGTGAATCCATGTTGACTATTCCTGATCAATTTCCCCTCTTCCAAGTGCTTCAAAATGGATTCCTTGAGGATCCCCTCCATGATTTTTCTGGGGCCTGAGGTAAAGCTGACTGGTCTGTAGTTCCCTGGGTTGTCCTTCTTCCCTTTTTTAAAGATGGGCACTACATTTGCCTTTTTCCAATCATCTGGGATCTCTCCTGATTTCCACAAGTTTTCAAAGATAATGGCCAAAGGCTCTGCAATGACATTTGCCAACTCCCTCAGTACCGTCGGATGCATTAAATCCTTTTGTCAGGATCCTGAAATCTACCCTCTCATGATCACTGCGTCCCAGGTTGTCACCCACCTCTACTTCCCCTACTAGTTCCTCCCTGTTTGAGAGCACCAGGTCAAGCTGTGCATAGCCCCTGGTCGGTTCCTTCAGCACTTGTACCAAGAAGTTATCCCCAACATTCTTAACAGATTCTGTAAATTCTTATAGGTACAAATAGTCCTCCATACTCACAAGAGTCAGTGGGAGTTTTGTGAGTAAGGATTGCAGGATTCAACCTCTCAAGATTAAAGCTCCATTTTCTTTTCCTTCAGTCTAAAGACTAAGCTACTGTAAAAGGTCCAAAAATTTTCCTGTTCAATGGCTCAATGAGAGGTAATTTTCACTTTTAGCAGTTCATGGAAGAATTACCAATTGGAACTTGTGTGGTTACCTAGTTTTTCACTAGTTCAACAGGATATGATCTGATTTTACATAGAATTAAAATGGAAAATGCATAAATACGTTCTGTTTAGGCAGGTGCTTTCAAATCTCCTAATCCTTGATTTAGATTAAAAATTGACAGCCTGGATTTTGTGGCTCAGAACACACACATGATCTATGGTTGCCAATCCTCCAGAATTGTCCAGGGAATATGGATTAATCTTTAATTAAAGATTATGGCATGTGGTGAAACCTCCAGGAATGTGTCCAATCAGAATTGGCAACACTAATATATTCTGTGGTTTAGGAGAAGGCTGAATCCAGATTCACATGAGTGTAAATTATAAGAATTTTCAGAGGAAAATCTGAATTAGTTATCTCATCTTCAAGCATGATAACACTTTTCATGTCCAAAAGGGCTATTGGCTATTTACTGCAGTATTAATGCAAAAGATAAGAATTGATTGTGTTGAGTAATTAACATACCAATGTCCAAGCAAGTCAGTGTGGCTAAACATTTTTGTATGAAAAGGGGAGCTTGCTCCTGGGCCAAAGGCTGAGCACAGAGACTGGATTTTCCCTTTACCATGACTTACAGCTTGGTAGAGTGATCTAAACGGTGAAAGGGTGGGCAGAGGATTTAGGATTGAATGGGTACTCTCTCATGTTTGCCTCTGTGTATGCGTGCATCTGCATTAGTCCATGCGGCATGGTGACCTTTCAAACTGCATGATGATCTGCCTACCAAAAAATAATGCAAATTCTATTTCATTTTTGCTCAACTGAACTCATTTGAAAAAAAGCTTTAAATATGCCTTTATTCTGCTACGGTTTTCAGTTTTGCTGGGGATGCAAACTCACGGGGAAAATTTCAGTCACCTAGATAATAAAGGGGTGTCTGCCAAAGTTATTTAGCCATCCCCTCAAAATAAAAGCTTTGTAAAATTATTCTGGGCTGATCTAGTATGGCAATTTCAATGATCCTATAATTGCATGGGAGAGTTGTTGAGAGAATCTCTCCTCATCAACCCTGAAAGCTGTAGTAATTCAAATGACTTCTTACATAATAGGAATCTCCTTCTCAGCTCTGCTTTTTCCTCAAGGACCATGCTGTCTTGTAGCTGTAAAGAAGCCTGGTTATGAAGAAAATGGTTTGTGTGTTTTTCTCTCTCAAATTGCAGGGTACTCCAGGACCAATTGGAGTTCCAGGACCAGCAGGACCAAAAGGGGAAAGGGTAAGTTAGCATTTTGTATTTTGGCTCCCCTTGTATAGCAACTATAGACCCCGAAACAGGTGTCCTCTGCATTATTTTCAGAAGCGTTCATTTATTCCTCTGTGCGCAGCCTCTCAGTGGGTATGTCTATGCTTCAAGCTTCAAGTATGAATTCCATAATGGGGAGACAGACCCTTGCTGACTCTGATTGAGCTAGCCCCTAAAAATAAAGTGTAGATACTGTGGCAAACATGGCGGGGGGGGAGGTTAACCACTCCAAGCACTTACCCTTCAAGGTGCTATATGCATACTAGCACCTTCTGCTCTCATGCCACCACAGCTACACTCATGTGAGTTGAACCTCCAGATCAAAGTGTAGAACTTTCCCATAGGCTATGTCTAGACTGTAAGCCTCTTTCGAAAGAGAGAGTCTAGACTGCACGCGGAACTTTCGAAAAAGCAAGCCGCTTTTTCGAAAGAAAGCAGCAAGTGAGTCTGGATGCTCTCTTTCTAAAAAGCCCTGTTTGCTTTCAAGAACGCCTTTTTTCGAAAGAGCACTTTCGAAAAAAGGTTCTTCCTCGTGGAATTAGGTTTACCGCCGTCGAAAGAAAAGCCGCGTTCTTTCGATTTAATTTCGAAAGAACGCAACTGCAGTCTAGACGCAGGTGAAGTTTTTTCAGAAAAAGGCTACTTTTTTCGAAAAAACCCCTGAGTCTGGACACAGACAGAGTGTACAAAACAACACCTCTCTTTTGTCTCTGTTTTAGGGCAGTAAAGGAGATCCTGGAACTTCAGGACCAATGGGGACAGCAGGGCTTCCTGTAAGTACTGGGATCTCTACATTGTCTACTATCCATGAAGCTTTCACCTTCCAGCACTAGCACATGCTGCTGTAACAGGATAAAATGTTCTCTCTCTGCCATATTAACACCACTGTGAAGCTGAGGAATTTGTAAAAATGATGCTAAATTGAAACCCCGATTTTAATTTTCAAAGCAAAAGACTTTTCTCACAGTTTCAATGCCCTCTTAGTGATATTATTTAATTCAACTTAAAATTAAATATTTTAGAATAAATAATAGAAAAATAATTAGTCTATCCACCAAAAAATATATATTTTAAAGTGAAGAGAATAAAATATGTAGACCCTGAAATTACTAGGATAAAAAGTAAACCATGCTAATTATTCACACATTATAGTAAGATGCAGTTATTGAACAAATCCATTCCGAGTGATTACTTTTCTGAACTAAATACCTACCTTCCAAATGCTGACAAGGCAGAATTGGGGCCCAGTTTTATAACCATAATCACACAAGCAGACCTTCAATGGGACTGCTTCTATGAGCAAGGTTTTATTCACATATATAATGGGTTTAGGAGTGGAGCTGTAGCTTTAGAATAGATAATCCCAAACTATCTTTATTTTAAAGTAGAAATGAAGAGGCTAGTTTATTTGCTGAGTTTTTGTCTGAAGAATTGTTTTGACTGAGTAAATAAAGGGACCTGTTTTGCTGACATTGATTTAAAATAGTTTATATATATAGTTCTTCTTACTGATGTATTTTAGGGTTTACAAGGCCCACCTGGTGACAAAGGAAACCGGGTAAGTCATGAACCAAGCTTCCTGTATTTGATTACTAATGTCTTTATGTAGAGGTGGAATGATTAATTACTGAAGTACCTGAAAAAACTCAGGTAAATTCCTACCTGATAAGCCCTTATAAAGCAATTTATAGATGTATAATTTACAATGCCATGGCTGTAGTTTTTACAATGCACCATAACCAAAGACATCATCATTCAAACACTAAAGCATGCCAGTCGTATTTTCAGAAGTGCTCAGTGGTGCTTTCTTCCTGTTCTCACTAAATAAGGCCAATAATAAGTGCTTTTGAAAATCCTACTTTAACATGCTGAATGAGGGATGCAAACTAGACAATTCCCCCTAATGTTAATAATGGTGGTATAGCTAAATCTTGTCACATGCTACTCAAATTCCCTTTAAATGCTGAAAAAGAATGTCAGCCACTTTACTGCAGCAAAGTGGTTCCAAAGTTTTCCAGAATTACATCTTTTTTTCAACCAAACAAAAATTGGAAAAAGATTAATTAAATATGACTATATTAAAGAGCCTTATCATGCAGTCTTAGACTCCTTATTCAGGCGTTAACATGCATTGATATAAGAACTGCAGAGCCAGCAACAGATTATGCTAACTGCTGACAATTTTTTTTACATCTTTTACTTGTGTTATAAAGAAATAAACTGTACCAAACTGTATATATTTATAAAAAAAATTATATTAGGCATATTAGTGATCTAAATCCTTTGATAACAACAATAAAGAGATAAGTAGTTGAGAATAGTTTATACACTTCGTATATCTAAATTCTCATTATAAGGCTCTGATGGCATATGCAAGCATTTTGGAAAGAGATTAAATTTGTGATAGAAAAAGTGCCAAAGCAGTAAGTGTATGAGATGGATATATTTGCTGATTACATTTGGCAAATCCTGTCTCTCCTTCCTTATCATCTGGAGTTCTCCTCTGATTCTATGTTAAACAGATTAACAAACTTGAAAAAGTGCCCTGCTCAGCAGGTTGTTAAACAAGGAAAGACTATTCTTTCTTTCTTTCTTTTTTTAATTCATGGGAACTCCACGGTGCTGCTATATTTTAATCATTCCACTTCTGGTTTTGCTCTTTAACCTACATTTAATTTTATTAAGGTTTTTTTCTGAATAAGATATAAGTTTAACAGGATCTTTAGACTTTTTCAGTTGGCTTTAAATCTGGAAATCGTATTTAGAAGATGGGACTTTTGTTGGCCGCAATAAGAATCAGTTTGGGCTAACGTGGCTTCATTATTCTCCCTCAAATAAAAAATAACTAAAGAGTGGGACAAACAGCAACTTTCACAGATGAGAGGGGAGTGTCACAGTCCCCTTGAAAGGAATATTTGGCTAAAATGCAACAAATGCTTTAAACAAAAATGTTTGAGAAAATTAAGTTTGTGAATGGGCATATAATGTAACTTTTCAGGTCTGATCCAGCAAATACATATTTATTTGTTACTAACAATTTAATTAAGGGCTCCTCCTCAGCCCACAGTCCATCTAACAAATTATTAAGTGGGTAGGGTGACCAGATGTCCCAATTTTATAGAGATAGTCCTGATATTTGGGGCTTTCCCTTGTACAGGCACCTACCTCCATTCTTATTTTTAACACTACTGTCCGGTCAGTCTATAAGTGGGCCACTTATTAGAGCAACTCTAAGGAGTTAATGTTATTTAAAAAATTTAAGCATCCTATGGCAAACTGCTTTGTCCGATATCCCGTTTTAATTGACATTGCTACAGATATCTCACAAGCTCCATTTCACAGAAATCTGGAGGGTTCTATGTGCTCAAATTCATTGTCAGGCAACCAAATAGTGTCTCTTTTTGGCCAAATTGTTTAGCCACCAGGAGTTTGTTCTCCTTTCCCATAGCCTAGGGTTGATCATTGTCTATGGGACTTTCATGTCCATTTATGGAAGATATGTCACAGTAATCACATGACATGGACTTCTTCGAGCATGATTTTATTTTGATCCTCTGAGATTGACTCTCTCTGACAGGAGATCTGGAACAGAAAGCTTTAGAACATAAGAACAGCCATACTGGATTGGATCAAAGGTCCATCTAGTCCAGTATCCTGTCTTCTGACAGTGGCCAATGCCAGGTGCCCCAGAGGGAATGAACAGAACAGGTAATCATCAAGTGATCCCTTCCCTGTTGTCCATTCCCAGCTTCTGACAGAGACTAGAGACACCATTCCTGCCCATCCTGACTAACAGTCATTGACAGACCTCTCCTCCGTGAATTTATCTAGGTCTTTTTTGAATCCTATTAAAGTCTTGGCCTTTACAACATCCTCTGGCAAGGAGTTCCACAGGTTGCCTCTGTGTTATGTGAAGAAATACTTCCTTTTATTTCTTTTTAAAATGCTACCTATTAATTTCATTTGGTGACCCCTAGTACTTGTGTAATGGGAACAAATAAATAACTTTTCTTTATTTACTTTCTCCATACCAACCATGATTTTAAAGACCTCTGTCTTATCCCCCTTAGTCTTCTCTTTTCTAAGATGAAAAGTCCCAGTCTAATTAGTCTCTCCTCATATGGCAGTTATTCCAAACCCCTAATCATTTTTGTTGCCTTTTTCATGCCAAGCTATCTTTTTTGAGATGAGGTGTCCTCATCTGCACATAGTATTCAAGATGTGGGCGTATCATGGATTTGAATAGATGCAATAAGATATTATCTGTCTTATTCTCTATCCCTTTTTTAAATGACTCCTAACATTCTGTTTGCTTTTTAAAATGCTGCTGCACATTGAGTGGGTGTTTTCAGAGAACTAGCCACAGTGACTCCACGATCTCTCTCTTGAGTGGTAACAGCTAATTTAATCACATTAATTTTATAAATATATTAGGGATTATGTTTTCCAATATGCATCACTTTGCATTTCTCAACATTAAAATTCATCTGCCATTTGTTGCCCCATCACCTAGTTTTTTGAGATCCTTTAACAAGGGAATGCAAACACCTGCCTTATGCTTGATAACTAACTTATTTTCTAGCAAGAAAATATGCTATTTAAAAATGGTTTTAATAGTAGATACTAGTAACAGAGATGGACTGTTAATAAGATTTACACACACACATTGTGATTAACACAATGAAAGTAGGTCTTGAAGTGCCCACCCCTTTCCCTGCAGTAATTTGGCAAAAATCCTCTTCACAGGCCTCCCAGTTGCAAAAGACAGCTGTGCCTTTTTATGCTATGGATCTTTTCTGTTGAGCAGAGCCCTTTGTTCTTATGTCACTGTAGGATGTGTAATAATAGCCTTCAAGATCCAGTGCAGTCATGAAAGTAGCGTGCGATATAACAACTGAAATGTTGCTGGAACATGACAGCCGTGTGAATAACCCAACTGAAAAAGTATGAATGCTGAATTTGTGCATTAAAGCTGAACTCTTCACATTTTATAACATCTGGTTTTTTCTTCTCCTGTCTGTGTGTACGTGTGTATTCCTTGCTTCTACAGGTCCACCTTTGTCCCCTTTATCCCTTCCTCCTCTTCTGCCTTTTTTCCTGGGTCCTTCCTCCTCCCTCCACTACAACCCATTCCACGTTTTCTCCTGGATTATCCTCTTTGTTCCAGTGTTTGATCCCGGGTGATTTCTCCTCATTACTTCTCCTATCCCATCCATTTCTTTTGTCAGCTTTTAGCTCAGTTGGTCTAAAACCTTTTATTTTCCTTTTAAAATATATATATATATTTATACCTGTGCTGCCTGATTTTATTGCACCTTCTAATCATTACCATCTAAACACTAAATAAAATTCCCTCTTCAGCCATCCCAACTCTATCGAATCCTCAGCAGCTTTAAAAAGTTCCTCATATCTGCAGCTGTTCCATTTAAAAATATAAAAGATATATATTTTCTTATAAATATCAAGGATTATCCTAATGTTGACCTGCACTTAGAATTTCCATTTAATTCAGAGTGAGTTGAGAGTGAAATTTCCCCTGTGCAGAGGATCAGCAGGAGATCTGTTCACTATTTTAAGATCCACTTAGCCCTTTTTCATCACAGGCTTTGTACTGGATTTCTGCATAAGGGTGAGTTTCAGTCTCTGGATTTGATTCTTTTGTCACTTGCTCCAATCTAAATCAGGAGTGAGTAACACTAGTATAAAACTGATTTAAGTCAGAGAAAACTCAGATCTTCTCTGCACAAAACACTGGCAGTATCAGGCTAATTCATTTGCTAGAATTAAACCTGTGGCAGATACAATACCTATCTTAGTCGAGAAAGAGAGACATCATATCTTTTAAAAGTGCAACGCTTAAACAAAGTAATGGAAAATGCATACATAAAACATACAGAATTTTAAAAATCATTTGAGAGAATGCATTTAAAATAATTTGTTATATTATTATAAACAAAAATTCTTTTGGGGGAAGGATAAGGAGAAGTGAAAAGGAAAAGAGATGTAAAATTAATGAATTGGTAATCAGGTCCAAGTCTGTGACAGCAACATAACAGGTAATCCAGACTTGCAATCAAGCAGCCAGTCTTTTGTTCCTTTGTCAGTGAAGCTCATAAGACTCAAAGAAGTGACACTCTTGCCCTCCTAAGCAAGGCTGAGGACCACTCGGTTCAAACTTCTCCTCCCAGCCAGTCTGTAGAGTGGCACTGGTAGGTGTCATTCTCCTGGCAGTAGAACACGTGCCCAGTGAAATCCCATCTACAAAGTTCAGGGGGCTGCCCATTCATTTAATGTAACGATGGGAGACAGAATCCTTATCAGGGTGGGATTTCAACAATTAGTAAAGTGCAATACATGTAAATAAAATATACCAATAAATCCATAAAAAGCTTTCCTGTAAGAGCAACTTAACTGAAGGAATCTCCTTTTTAAAAATATTTTTCTAGTCGTGTTTATTTCTTTTTTAACTATCTCTGACATTTATTTGAAATGGATGATCCTAAAGCTTTTGTGTATTTTTTTTCTTGGACTAAACTATTATTTACAGGGGGAGAGGGGCAAGAAAGGCTCTAGAGGGCCTAAAGGGGATAAGGGAGACCAAGGAGCGCCTGGATTAGATGCACCCTGTCCATTGGTATGTTCTGTTTTATAAAATGTTTTATTTTAAGATTTGCCAATGAGGAAGAAAGAAGGAAAACAAAGGAAATGACTGCTATAAAAATCGCATTGCTTAATAAAGGGCCTGTGCTGCTCCCACTGGAGTCTATGGCACAGCTGTTGTCTTCAGTGTGATGCAGAAACAAAGAGCAATTGGGCTATAGAGTAACTTTAGTTCTGGCCCTTTCTTTTCCAGAGCTCAAAAAGGAATGAGTGAAATGAGAGGAGAGGGTGAACAAAGGAGTTTTACTATGAAAGTAGAGCTCTGGAACTCTCCCACTTATGGATTGTTCTTTGGCAATGTTTAATACCATCGTATTTATGCAGTAATAATATCTAAAATGCCTTCTTTTTGCCTCTGAATGATGTCCGACTGATATGTTTATAATGGAGTCTCTACTTGATAATGACACAGGGCACTCAGGTTTGGATACCCAGTGGGAAAACAAATTGGTGTGAAATCTAATAGGAGAGTTAGAAAATGATCAAGAAGGCTATGACATTATCTCACTTCATTGGAAGCCTCTACGTTTAAAAAGTAGCAACATTTAGCCAAATGGAAAACATAATGCTATAGGGATTGAATATGTATAATACACAAGGAAGCTCTATATGTCTAAAATATTATCATTATTCTTTTTAGTTCATCCCCAGGTCTATTATTTGATCAAGCTGAAGAGTCACTTGCATACTACAATGATAAGTGCAGTGTATGTGCCCAGATAGGGCCTACAGAGAAGTTATTCTCTTTTGTTTCAAAGTGAGGACAGCAACCGAAGACAATTTCTAAAAAGCAGAGATCTTCTTCCCACTCCCCTTCTTCACCAGTAGAATCCTCCCAGATTTACCAAAATTAGAAAATCACCTTCTGATTCACAGAATATAGGGCCAACAAGACAACCTTTCCTACCAATTATGCACTAGAGATTCAAACGCTGATTATTTCATGTACTGGGTATGTAACTTGAGTGCTCTTTGATTATACCAGTGTGGGACTGGGCCTCTCCTCCCATCACATGGAGGGGATGGCATTGACTGGAATAATTATAGTGGTTGATTTCATGAACAGGGACTCCGAGGTTTTAAAGGCGAGAAGGGTGAGCCGGGGTTACCTGGGCTGGACGGGCTGGATGCCCCTTGCCCATTGGTATGGTGTTACCTTCCCTTTCCTGCATGCTTCTGTTTGCTTTTTATTCTTGATTTTTATTTTCTGATACCCCCAAATAGTGGCATGAACTGTAATCCTACAGCAATGGTGCCATCCTTACCAATCTCCATCCTGCCTCCCCTCACACAACTTGCTTCACAATATGACCCATAACATCCTTTGCAGTGAATCACGGTTGCTACTGCCATACGTTTGTGGTACAGGGACAAATGAAGCAGTAGTCTGGATGTTCTACTACATTACAAAGCTTTGTTCATAACTACTTCTTCTCTTCCTTTAAGTTTTCCTTCAGAATGCCTGCTGATTTTCCTTCAGAATCCCTGCAGAACCAGTGTTTCAAAAGCTGACCCTCAGAGGAAATGCTTACATTTCCCACTAATTCTGCTAGCCAAGTGTAAATACTTAAAAGTAAAGTCTGACACTCTTCCAATCCCCTTATGCATCTTACACATTTTAAAAAAAATCCCCACCAGAATGCAAATATAACTTTCAAACAATCCCTGAGAAATGTACTGGTACAGTATTTCGAATCATCAACTTTCCAACAATTCATGTCTAATGGCAAGAGTGTCCTAAAAAGACAAGCACTCCACCCTTATGTCATGCTTTAACTAAAAGACCTCATCCAAGTCATTTTTCAGTTGCTCATGAGCTCCATAAACATATAGAGGGAATTTATGGATTTTATAGCGCATAAAGAATGTAAACAAATTTGGCTGTAATGGAAGAATCTTTCAGAATTGAGGGATCTTCATGGAAAGCCCCGTGCCAATAGCTTCTTCTGTCTTGTGATAAGGCAGTGCCTGCTCAAATTCCTCTTCTGGCCTCAGCTCTGGCACCCAGACCAATGTTTTTCCTTTCTGTTTTTCTTTAGCATCTCAGAGAAACTTACACTTGACTCCAAGACTGCCTAGTAAATTACTTGACCTCCTTCTTACTTGGTTATTAAAAGGATATTTTAATGCCCCTTCCTAAATACTGTACTGTATTTCCTAACCCAAATATGACAAAGTTGCTCTCACCATCACACTAAAAAGCATCATATTATTCATTTACTCAAAGACTCTCAGTTCAAATGCAGTATCTGTTTCTTTGGGTCTGTCTGCATTGAAACTGGCTGCTGTGGTTCTCAGCAAGGGTAATAAGCCTATGAGAGCATGGATTGAGATAGCATGTTGAAAATAGCAGTGTGGACACACAGGAGCCAGCTCAGGCTAGCCACCTAAGTCTAAGCCATCTGGGTTTGAATATGGGTGGCTAGCCCAAGCTACTGCCTGGGCCATAATGTCCACAATACTATTTTTATCCTGCTATCTCAAGGGTGGGCAATAGGATAGCAGTGGTTTGCTAGGGTTAGCCTCTGGAGGGCCACTGCTGCTCTGCAGATATGGGAGCTTGCAGTTCCCATTGGCTGCAGATCGCCGTTTCCTGCCAATGGAAGCTCCGGGAAGTGGAAAGATGGGGACACCACTTCTTGAAGCTCCAACTGGCGGGGAACTATGATCAATGGCCAACGGGAGCTGCACGCACTTGTATCTGTGGAGGTGCATGCAAACACAGCAGTGGCAACCCGCCAGGGGCTAACCCTGGCAAATCAGATCCGGCCTGAGGGCCATTATTTGTCCACGGCTGTGCTAGCTTATGCAGAACTACTGAAAGCTTGAAAGGTCAAAAGTTTACTAAAGTGGATTCAAACGTATGATCATCCTAGTTTCTGTTGTACAAGCCCAACTGTGATGCTGGGTGTGGATTTGAGCTGTTAATCTCTGTTGCCTTGGCTTTACTGGTGTTACTTGGCGCTCGTTAGACCAAAGCTAGCTCCACTACACAGGCTTCCGTCACACCTTTGATTGCAGGAGGTAGAAATACCCTTAGAATGTGTCAAGTCCTACTCTGTTACAAATACACACCCACATTTCCAAGAGGTCTGATCACAACCGACTCATGTGACTTCTTTGGGCCCTAGACAAACCAATGGAAAATTAGGGCAATAAAAGGAACTTTAGTGAGAAACAGTTGCTGCATCTGAACTGAGTTTTTCCTGAGTAAATAAATACAGTGGTTGGCATTAAGAGCTTTACAATTTTGCTTGCAAGTAGCTAACATTACTATCATTCCCAGCATTCCCTGCATTTTACACTTCAATTTTCTTTGGATAATGAATAATTGAATACATCTGTAATAACAGCTAAAAGGCCAAACTATAAAGATTTTAATGGCATTTTCTATCTGGCAATACTGGGTAAATAAACAAATAAACAAAGGCAAATTTACAAATATGCAATAACATATGATCCCAGAAGCTAAAAATGCAAAAAGAACTGTACAGTCAGCTGCAAGTCACCTCTGTACTGAACATTCCTAAATTGTACAAAGCGTTCAAGTCTGAGAGTATCTCTAAACACAAGGATTCTTCCACTATCTTTGGAAGACTAGTCTGTCTTCCCTGGCACTAATCCTTCCAACTGAAAATTGTGCTGCAGGGCAGCAGCATAATGCATGTCTATTTCATGACCATTTTTGTTATGGAGACACACCAGAAAATCTGGTGAAATGAAAGTGACACAATAGACAGTATTTTGGCATCAAAAGTAGTTTGAGACATTGCATGTGCATGTTTGTTGACCCAAAATTGTTAACATTTACCTCTGCCTGGCATTCTGCTGACACAACTTATTTCAATGCAGGATCTGTACAAATGCATGGAGTCTGTGACCTAATGCAAATCTGAAATATGGGAATCTAATTACTTGTTATTAATAAGCATGTCCCATTTCCCTCCCTCTGCAAACTAGCCTGCAACAAACACTTCCTTGTGACTCTGTTCTTCCTTCGATCCCTAAACCATAACTCTCCAGCTTCCTGTTCCTCTACACACCTAACTTTCCATTTCCTCCTGCAATGCATTACACAATTCATTCACCTCACCACCAGCGTACCAATGGGAACACCACTTCTTCCCTACTAAAGGATCCATAATCATTTATTGTCACAGTTCTGCAGTCTGTGGGAAAGAGCATTGCTGGGAGGCTGCTTTAAGAGAAAAGAACTATGTAATGTCACCCAGTGATATTTTTTTCCATCAAACTCGCTCATCAGTGTACTTCAGTTAACTAGTTTCTCTCTCGTTATAACACTATGCATTTTCTTCTCTTTGGTTTTTCTTTTGTTTTTTAACGTGAGATGTTAAGCTGTGGAGATGTCTCCTGCAAAAGTTAAGGAGCTAAGAATAAACTAATTTGATTGAAGAAAATGGGTTCAAATCATCCTTTGTATAATTTCACTGACTGTGGTAGAGTTACCTCAGAGGTGTATCTGACCCAATAGCTTGAATGAGAAGAGCAGTTGTAGGCATCGTCTAGAAGGATTTGATTGAACTTTCTCACTATCAATAGCTTTGAACTTGTTAGGTTAGGTTTTTCACCTGTTTATTATTTCAATCCCAGTAGTTCCTCCCCACCATCTTCAATTATCTGTCTCACAAGGCTGGTTAGTGCTGATCTGAGTAGAATTAAATTCTAACATTTCACAAAAACTCACCTTCCAGTTGCCAATGTAATGGTCACACTGTTGGTTTCCTTTTAACCTGCAAATTTTTACAGGATACAAAACTTTTTTGAATAAAAACATTCTAAACTTATATAGGGATTTTTGATCCTGCAGTCCTTTAGGCCTTGTCAACACTTACTAGGAGATTGGCAATGTGGGGATTGATCTCTCAAGGATCGATTTAGCGGGTCTTTTTTAGAAAACCCACTAAATTGACTTTTGATCATGCTCCTGTTGACTCTGGTACTCCATCGGATCAGGAAGAGTAAGGGAAGTCGATGGGAGAGTTTCTGCAGTCAACCCCCCACAGTGGAGATGATGTGGTAACTCGATCTAAGATACTTTAACTCCAGCTAAGGAGTTTCATACCTTAGTTCAATGTTGCCCCTTAGTGTAAACCTGCCCTTAGTTCAGGATCCCACTGGAATTCTGCAACAAGAAAGGCTTGAAGGTTTGGGTCCTGTGAGAACACAGACCTAATCCCATCCATTTTGTTGAGACAAAAGGCCTATTTACCCAGCAATTCAGGATGGCACAAAGGGATCGTAAAGCTGAAGATTCCTTCACTGTATAGGAAGCAGACTGCTCCAGCCACACTCTTCTTGCCCAGACATGTTCCTACACTGGGAAGTGGAGGAACAGAGATGAGGATTTAATATGTTCTCAGAGCCTCCATCTGGATTACATTGATTCTAAACTTCATCACTACACTAAGGGCTCATCCAGCAGCACCCAGGGAAAAAACAAAACTTTGCATCCATCCTTGTTTCAAACCAGCACTGAGACAAGGCCTCAGATCACCCTTCACTCCCCACAAAAAGCACAGGACAAATATTTTTTAAATGGGCCTATGGAGCAAATATTAACATCTATCCTGTTGCTGTGGTTAAAAAAAACAGTTATATTATGGTGGTGCCCAAATATCTCATCACACTATGCCCAAGCACTGATAAAAAGGCAGTCCTCGCTGTGAACATCTCGCAATCAGGACTCCTTAAAACTGTTTACAATGCCAAATCATATCCCAAACTGGTGTTCTAACATATTTGTGATTGCTACACCTTTTTTATTTTGTGTTCTATATGCTGCATAGGATTTGCCATAGTGCTCCTATTGGGATCTCATTTCTTGCTTAGGTTTGCCAGGTGTCCGGTGTTGACCCGGACAGTCTGGTATTGTTGCCTCCTGTCTAGTAAAAATATTCAGAAAAATACCAGATACCTAAAATGTCTGGTATTTTCTGATTTTTTTCCCTTCCAGGAGGCGAAAATACCGGACACCTGGCAACCCCTATGACACACTCAGCAACTTGGCCCAGCCCCTGGATCCACTCCTAGGTCCCCCGCACTCCTCTGCTTACCTGGTTCCGCAGGGGAGCTGTCTTGTGGCTGGAGCAGAAAAACAAGATGCCACTGGCAAAAAAGCCTCTTTCTCCTAGCGGCTGATTTTCCAGAATAAGTGGCCCAATGTAGACACAGCCCTAGGGCTCGTCTACACTGGCCCCTTTTCCGGAAGGGGCATGTAAATTTCACTAGTCGTCGTAGGGAAATCCGCGGGGGATTTAAATATCCCCCGCGGCATTTAAATAAAAATGTCCGCCGCTTTTTTCCGGCTTTTAAAAAAGCCGGAAAAGAGCGTCTACACTGGCCCCGATCCTCCGGAAAAAGTGCCCTTTTCCGGAGGGTCTTATTCCTACTTCAAAGGGCACTTTTTCCGGAGGATCGGGGCCAGTGTAGACGCTCTTTTCCGGCTTTTTTAAAAGCCGGAAAAAAGCGGCGGACATTTTTATTTAAATGCCGCGGGGGATATTTAAATCCCCCGCGGATTTCCCTATGACGACTGGTGAAATTTACATGCCCCTTCCGGAAAAGGGGCCAGTGTAGACGAGCCCCTGGTGTTTTTTTGGGGGGGCAGTGTGTTCAGTATTTTTGGTTAAACCATCTGGCAACCCTACTTGCCACTGAAGAATATGTAAAAAAGAATTAAAGTAAATCTCATGCAATGCAGAGATTTCTGATGTCTCAGCAAATCTGACACAAGGAATTTCTTGACATTTAGAAATAAAGACCGTACAACCATGACATAAGAAAATGTAACTTCCATAATTTTGACAAGACAAAGTCCCTCACTCAATACTAACGCCAGCCCAGATAAATGAAATGAATATATTTTCTAGCCATTCCTACAAGTCCGAATGCTAGTGTAGTGTTTGGGATCCACTTTGTTGTATGTTGTCAGGAATAGCACATCATCTCTGAATTATGACATGGAGTCATAAATGACAATACAATCAGCCAGTTCATGTCTCACACTCCAACATCCTGATACATTTTACTTCTGAATAGGAACATTTATGTTTCCCTCTTCAGGAAAGCAGGGCCAAACACATTTTTCAGAGCAGAACTAGAGCTGCACAACACAGAGACAAATTTCCCTCGAGTCTCTGGTTTCAGATTGAACCCTGACCATATCTTTCATCCAGAAAAATGGGTCACACAAAACAGAGGGACGGAAATTATATATATTAAGACATTCATCCCAGCCCTACTCTGATTTTAAATGTTTGTTGCAGCCATACTAGTTAACCCTTTCCTTCCTTCCACGTGGCCGTTTCCTGTATCCTTAACTGTCTGTTTCTTTCTGGGTTGTAGGGGGAAGATGGCTTACCAGTTCAAGGCTGCTGGAATAAGGTAAAAGAATGCTGGAACTTCTATGACTGTGATGAATTAAAGATGCTGATGCATTTTGCAGATGCTTCTCTGTGAGTTTTAACAATGACAAAGGTGTGTAAAGCACGCAGTGTATTTTCAGTGCCAGGGCTCCTGACAAGCAAGGACCAAAACTGTCCATGTGATTTATCCAATGCTACACAAATAAAAAGAGTTAAAAATGATGGAATTGTATTAGTAGCTCTGGATATTCCAGGCTTGAAAATATCTCATAAATTGCACAGAATCAGAACTCAATAGATGTGTTATATCCTTATGTATCAATATATTATTAGTAAATCATACATTTTATCCATCAATCTCAAAGGACTTCACAAAGATGGGTAAGCACTGTTATCCCCATTGTGGAGAAACTGAAACTGAGGCACATAAGAAACCAAAAATGTCAAAGTGGAGTGCTTACTCTTCAGCACCTGAATCAGTTTTTAGGCACCAAATAGAAGTAATTGATCTGATTTTCAGAGGTTCAAAACACTGCAGATCTGATAGACTTAAACTGAGTTAATCTGGCATTAACTGGTATGAATGAGATAAGATTAAGGAAGGTGTGGGCAATAATTTTAGAGTGGGGGGTAGCCCACTTAAGAAATTTTTTAATTGGCCCTGGGCTGTCCGGAAGGGGCGGGGCCAGGACACTTTCGTGCTTCCCCGCCCACAGTTGCTGATTGGCCTGAGGGTGGGGGAGCACGTGAAGTCTTTGTCTATGCCCCCACAAAAAGAAACACTAGCTGTTCAGAAAAGCTGATGGTTCCCTCTAGGCACCCCCACTCTGGCGGCAGGAGGAGACTTTGCGCTCTCACCCCCAGACCTCAGGTCAATCAGGACCTGGGGGCGGAGGAAGCGTGGTAAGTCTCTTGCTCCCTGCTCCTACCCTGCAAGGAGCATGTGGCCATTAGAGTCAACTCTGGCAGTTTACTCTAAGCATCATATGCCCCTGGCAGGGGGAGACTTTGCACGCTCCCCCATCCTTAGGCCCTGATTAGCCTGCAGGCGGGGAGGTGGCAGGGCATCCACGGGCTGGAGCAATCCGTGTGATGGGCCGCATCTGGCCCACGGAGGCCCTTTTGCCCACACCTGGATTAAGGGCTGCCTTTGAAACAGAAATAGCTCATGTGTGTGTGGGCTTTTGTTTCTATGTTGATTCCAATCTGACCAAGCCAACACATTAAGTTAACAAAAGACAAGATAAGTAAACTAAAGCTCCAAATATCCTTCTGACTCTGTGTGGATTGTAATTAGCATGTTTTACAATTTAGGATGTTTTTAAAGCTCTGAAGGGAACATTACAACTGGGATTTTCAGAGAGACTAAAGGAGTCGGGCATAAAACTCCCAGTGACTTTCAGCATGAATTGGTTACCTAACTCCTTTAGTTCCCTTTGGCAATCCCAATCTAAAGATAATGCAAGTTTTAGTGCTGTGGTCAACTCTAATGCTATTTATAATATTGACCAGGATTCAGTGTTTCAGGTTTTAGTCATGGCTGTATAAAGTGTAACATGATCCAGTGGCTGGACGTTGAAATTAGACACATTCAGACTGAAAAAAAGCACCCTTTTTAGCTTATTTAGGCCTTAACCTCTTTGTGCCTCAGGGTGTTCATCTTCCAGGAGGATGTATTATCCACCTCACAGAGCACTGTGAAGATAGAGTAATTGTTTGTAAAGTGCTATGAGATCTCTGGGTGAAGGATGTTGTACTATGACAAATCCTGGCCCAACTGTATTCAGGAAGGAGAGCAGTCAGGAATCCTGTCGTCTGCCTGAGCTTTGCAGTCATGACAGTTTGTACTAATTCTGAAAGGACACATTACCTGAGGCAAGTCAGAGCCCTTACAAGGCTGCCAAACCTACCATCCCAGAGGTACTCAGAAACTGAAATGGAAATATCAGATGGAAATATAGGAGCCCATTGGCCTGAAGGTTGCAATCAATGATATATGCACAGACATGCACTTACACAAACCTTATAACAACATGTACAGCAGAGAAACCTGTTCAAGTCCCTTCTTTTCTCTTCATTCTGTGCAGTTCAACTGCTTAGGAGTTTGGCCATTTTAGGCCTATGAATCCATCAGGACCTCTCTTCAGGTTCTGGCTCATTATTTAGTATTACCTATTACTTGCATTAGTGCAGAAAGCAGCTTCACAAGCAGCTATTTCAGTAGATATGGTGGGGCTGCTACGGGGGTAGAGTCATACAACATTGCACTCCCACCTTCCTACCCAGACAAACAAAAATGATTGTTCCTGAGGTTCTCAGTTTCCTCTGCTGTAGTGTATCCTGGAGCATGCTCACATAACAATGTCTGCCCCAGTTGTGTTTCCTTCCATTACAAAATCCTTCCTGCTGTTTGAATTGTGGAACTAACACAGGTTTGTTTTCTTTTGCAGTGATGGTTCTAACAATGGACTGGCCTGTGTGTGTTTTGTACATAGAATATTTATTTTTATACAAGGTTCTTTTGTGAAATGCCAAGAAGTTATACATTTTCAAATTATCAAAAGCTGCATATATTTTGTACAGAAAATACTAAATTTCTCTTTTGCTGTTTGTCAATCCTTTATATAATTCTGTGTCTTTATTATGCTTATATTGTTGTGGAATACAGCTGTCATATTTGCATGATATTTGTGCACACTTGATAAATATTGGAACTTAATAAATTATTGCATTCAGGTGCCAAAAGGAACTGCCCTATATAGATCTGAAGGTCATTTTTCTTTGCCAAACCAGGAGAATTCAAGAATATTTAGAGTGTTATGGATTTTATTATTAAAATGAAATATGACAATGTTATCTTTTTGTGAATAAATACGGTGTTGCTGTGGAAAGCCTGGGGCAGCCAGCAATACTAATAAAATGAGGGACTTCTATCTTCTATTTATTACATGAATGTAGTGCTTAAGAGCTTTCTTACTTTAATTTGCCATAACCTAGTGCAACCAAACCACCACTAGAGGACACTAATGGTGCTATTTTAACAAATGTACCCATTCATCAGGGAAGATGTTTAAGCAGCAAAACATGTACACACGTACAGAATCTGTCTTAAACTCTTGTAACTAGTTAAGACAGTATGTCTCACATTACCAGTTAGCCACACAAAGAACCAACATTTGCAATTGTGACACCAGGTCAGCAAGCCACTCAAGCACCTATCTAATTTTAAATACCAATAATCCCAGTAAAGCCAATAGGACTACACACATACTTAACATTAACTTGATACTTGAATACTTTGAAGAACAGCAACCTATATTAACATATACATATGAATACACAGTCAGTGTCAATCATAGGATTACATGTACATTTGCAGAAAAAAATAATCATAATTTGCATATGCAGATCTTATATATTCTTCTTCTTTTAGCTACATTAATATCTCAATTCCCACATGCCCACTCAGATAAAACTGTGTTAACAGGTTAAAGAAATATATGTTACAGATGAAGTAAAAGAACACAATGGGTGCTACATTATTGTTGCAACTGGCTTCTATATAGAAAGACCACTTGAAAGAGATTGTTAACTCATTCATCTCAATTTGAGGTAATGTATGCACAAGCCAAACTGTGATTCTAGTAACACAGAAATTTCATTCATGCTTGTGCATTTCATATTGCACACAACAGACAAAATTCAATCATGACATACATGACATGCAATTTCCACTGAAATAAATCCATTATGCCTTGGTTGAATTTTGCTTACGGTGCGTATTATGTATTAGTAAGAAAGGGATAATGGGTAATTCCTAAAACTTGTGCATCTTTTGTAGCCCATGTTTGAAAGGTGAAATGCTAGGAATAAAGATTGCAATCTGGAATTCTCAGGGGATAGAAGGGAAGCTAAGAGTGTCAAGAACTCACAGCAGATATGCACAAAGTGTACTCCATCAACAAAACTAAACAGAAGCACTAAAATCAAGCTGCTTAATGCAATACTGCAGGTCTCTTTGCAATTTTGCTATATATATTCCCTACCCTCTAAGTACCTGTAGTATTGTATGTCTCTGTCTTACATAAAAAGAAGCACATATCTAAGCAGTGTAAGGAGAGTGAACCCCTGGTTTGACAAACTGCAAGTTAAAAATGCCTCAATATACAGTTATGTATCGTATCCAGAGGACTCCCATTTGGTTCACTTAACTAAGACTCCTCCAGCTCCTTTGTTGCCATATGGAATTACAATACAGAACTGACCTGTGTCAAGAGCACTTTGTCTGAAACGGTGTTGCGTGAGAACTAACCACAGTATAAGCAATATTTTTTCATAAAAAACATTGATATGAAAACCAGCTTCCTGTTACAAGGTTGTGGGGCTGTGGAATGTAGCTGGCATAGACAGCTGTTATCCAAACACTAACTGATACTATGCAATTCCAGTTTTATAACTGGATCAGACACAAAAAAGTCAGTCAGAAAAAAAGTCAAAATAAAACTCTGTCTTAGTAACAACGTCTAACTGAAACAAAAGACAGGACTATGCAGCACTTTAAAGATTATTCTGTTTCTTGTATAAGATACTAATCAGGTGGTTCCTTAATTTCTTGGATAGTGTGTAGCAGAGTCTCTCACTGTAGTCAGTACAGTATGATGATCTTAACAGGTTGTTCACTTTCAGTCCTTTGGGTATGATGTCCATCTTTTTGCACTTGGATAGAAAGATGATGTCTGTCTGGATCTGTGCAAGTTTTTTCATATGGTTGACGGATTTCCATTCCAAACGGCTAAATGTAGTGCCTTGCGTGTAGAATAGTAATAGAGATGTAACCGTATTAGTCTGATCTTTCTGCATAGTCCTATCTTTTGTTTCAGCAAGACCAGACTAACACGGCTACATCTATTCTAACCTCTAACTGAGTCTCTGTAGGGTTATTACAGTGTGAAAGGGGTATAATGGTACCAAGAAGCAACCAAGATGAACTAGTCTCATCTTTTCTAAAAATGATGGCTGTATTTAAAAAGCAGGCATTGACAAACTCCTAAAAGAATTCACGACTGTCAGCTTTTTGTCCACGTCCGCCCCTTCCTGTTTTTTAAATGTGTTCTTCTTGTTGCATTGCATGGATTTGTCACTGTAAGAATTTGTCTAAAGGAAAACAGAACTTACAACTGAAATATTGTTTTACATGACAACTGAAAGTTAGTGCATGCTCTCAGAGGAATATGCTATTAGTTTGTTATTTCTCAGACTCTTTTCAGCTGATAAATTTATATGGACAGAAGCCATTGACATCGGGGACTTTGAAAGGGACTGAGCTCTTGAAAGCAACTGAATCATAATAGTAAAAAGAGAGAGGCTTGGGGAACACCAGACAAAATGGGCCTGATGGTCCTGTCAATTACTCCTTTATTGTAATGAGGAAACTCCAGTGGCATCAAAGTTGTTGCTGCTTTATGAAAGGAGAGCCAAAGGCCAGTCATAGCTAGAACACACTTCCTTTTAGACAGCAACCTGCAAGTTTACACAGCCAGCAAGTATCAGCTTATGCTGCTTCTCTCCCCACTTCTTCATTCACTTTTACTTTGAACAATTCCATTCAAGCTTTGCTTGCCCTGTTTGCTAAATAATTTCAAAGATCTCACTGGGCTGTGAATTGCTGAGTCTGGATATCAGACCTTACACCTTTCAGGGATTTAACATTCCCTCTGTGATTTCCTAAAAAAGTCACTGCACACTTTAAAAATGTCACAGAAGTTTTTGTGTTACAATTGGACCCACACCATCTTCAGTGGCAGTGTAAAATGTCAAAGAGATGAGCACATTCAGGTCCTTTGCATTGAAGAGATCTCCCCAAATAATTATCTTCCAGTAACAGCAATTAGTCTCTCCCAAAACATTTTTAAAAATTGTGCTTCCTAGTAATGCCTCTAGCCCTACGCACAGAGCGATTTGGGGTTTCTGGTTGTTGTTTTTTTTTGGGGGGGGGGTTCACTTTCACTGATCTGTATCACCATTAGCCTTCCTCCTTCCCTTCCCACTTGGAAATTAATGTTGTATGATCCTCCGTATCAGAAATTCCTTCTGGTTCAGTCCCCTACTCCCTCGTATAGTTCCGTTTTCCTTCTTCCCCACAATGTTCCCCCTGCAAAACATAAATACCCTTTAAAAGCTTAAGTTCAGGCACAAGCATTTTAAATAAAAAAGCATGTACTTTTCAAGACTGACTGTAGGTCTCTATTTTAAACACTGCTGCAACACAGATGTACCTAGCAGCTCATCTCCACAGCACTTTAGTGAAGGTGCTCTACACTGAAGGGAAAATTCTCCCACCAAAAGTGCTGTCTACACTGGTGCTTACATTGGTATAACTATGTCACTCAGGAGTAGGGATTTTTCACACCCCGAGCAATGTATTTATACCAAAATAATTCCGTAGTGTAGACCAGGCCAGGTTTTGCTCTGAGTACATTTTACCAACTTTAAAAATTAGTTTTATTTTTATCTTTACCTGAAAAATAAAAATTCCAGACATAGGATTTAGTAGACTTTAATTTAAAAGAAAAGTTAGCTTTTAAATACTACATATTTATTTTGAGAGAGTTTGGCACATAACTCACTTAGGTTATTTGAGAAACCATAACACCTTTGAAAATCTGTCCCTGAGAGTATGACAGAGTAATAACAGCAGAGAAGCTACAGAAAAAGTACAAGAAAGTTAGTAGGTAGACATAAATCTGAGACTGTGAGAAGTGAATGTTCTTTTCAAGAGGTGGGGGCAATGATACTTAGGTAGTAGGCAGTTCACAAAGTTAAAAAGGAGAATGGGGGTGTGTGAATTTGCTCTTTTGGTTACCTTAGAAAAATTGTGGTTCATCAACAAAAAATTAAGAATTCTATTGCGACTTCACATGATAAAGCTATGCTGGTGATGAGGAGAAGATTCAAGGAGCCACATTGCACTATTGGAAGTTCCTGAACACACTTTCAGTTTCTATGCCTGCTTCCTCTTGGATGGCTAGTCTCTGATGGACGGGCACAGGGCATGGCCTTACTCCATTCAGAGTACTTCACATTGCTGGCAGCACTAACACTCCTGCTGCCTTTGCATTCAGGAATTGCAGAGACTGGGATTGTGGTCCACCCCCCTGTGCTCTCTTACCCTCCTTGTGCACCAAGTCAGGGCTAGCTACAATCTAGTCCTGCTTTATTAGTGCTGCATGAGCTATTAGATACATGAAATTTCCACAATCTTAATCTACAATTTTGGTTGAACAGCTAGTCTCACAATATTTCAGATGCTTACAGTTTTGGACTGGAATTTGATCCACTCTGAAATTTGAAGTCTTGGATTCAAAGTTCAGATTTTGGACCATTTTTACTAAATCCAGAGCAATAAAAAGCCATGCTAGTGTTAGGTATTACCTTTGATAGGCCATTTTTATATTAAATCCTTTGTCTACTACTTCAAGGGTCAAACTCCTTGGTTGATAGCCAAAAAGTGAGACAAGCTTGGGGGATGACTGCAACAATGAAAGGAGAAGAATATCCTGTCTGAAGATTTGCAGAAGATGTTTGCAAATTAGCGTCCAGGAGTTTGAAGGAATGCTTCAGTCACGCACACCAGAATATTATCCTTGACCAACATGCGTGGTGTGGCTACTGGAGATGGGCATGCCAACAGTTTTTTGCTTTGCTGTTATTGTTGGGTTTTTTGTCCTCTCCTTCAAGAGACCAACAACAGAACTAGAAAAAAAACCCACCATTTTTCTTTTCTTTTTGTCATTTTACCAAATTCTATTTTCGTCATCAGACTCTTCGCATGAAGAAATAGTGCTTGTTTTCCAAAACCAATATGTAAAGTAAGTGTAAAGTATATGTAGAAAATAATTCTATGAGACTCTTTCAGTACAAGGACATTTTCTCTCTTGAACAACCATCTCTTTAAAAAAAAATCTTGTATATTCATTTTGGAGAGCAGCTCCAAGAGGACATCTTAAAAGCATTGCTACCTTTCCTGCTTATAAGATGATAAACTTCCATCTATTACCTTTGATGATTCCATCTTTAATCCTTTCATAGCCTTTATTCTCCCCACAAGCTATACATTAATGAACCTTCTGCTCACACACAAACAAAAGTTATATCAAATTTGTACAGTCACATTATATCCTGGCATAATGGAGAAAAATTCTGATATTTGATGAAAGTCTGTTTTCATTAAGCACATGCTTTGGACACTGGAGTTCTATTCACTTTCAGTCTTTCATTTTGCAAATTGTATTAATTGGCACTACACAGAACAACAAAATCGTATTTATTATGTCTTTAGATTTCCAGAAATGTTTCTGATGTCCTGATTTAGTGCTTATGAACACTCTTCTATGGGTACTTTTCAACAGTATTCTAAGATTGAAAGAAAGGATTACAGTGCAATTTCTAACCATTACCAGATCTTAAGGGAGTTTACTATATTTATTTAAGGGAAGAAAAGTATAAGTAAGAAGTTAAATATCACAGAGTACATTTCCCCCTTCATCTGAAAGTCCCAGTGTAAAACAGCAAAACCTCAGATGCCTCATAAAGGGTACTAACAAACATGGCATCTCTTGTTTTATTTCTATTATTCAGAGTGAAAGAAACTCTAATCATATATATATACTTTTATAGAGTATCTCTGCTATAGTGTACTTGCAATAAAACAACACAGCTACAATTTATAAAATAAGTACAAATATTGAGTGCACTAATGCCCCAATTCAGTAAAACATTAGGAATGAGTAGTCCAATTAAAGTCAATGGGATTACTTGTATGAGTAAAGTTAAATATGCTTAAATGCTTTGGTGAATGCATTATTCTTTTAATCTATAGAAATCTAGTTGATTTGGATAATGTTCATGTTGTAGTTCAACTGGGAGGGCTTATCCAAAGGGATACATGTTTTAATCAGAACAAAACTCAGAAATAAGATATTTTTATATGTATACATATCATACAATCTCTTCAGCTGGCACTACCGTACCTACTTGGGGGTTTGTTTGGAATTCTTTTCAGTGATTTACTAACTACTTTTCAGCAACTTTTCTTATCTATCTCAATGAACAAGCTTGTGATTGACTGCTAAGATCTGAAGTTGAGAGAAGAGGTAGACTGTAGTTCACCAGGAAAGTCAATGATCCCATTAGACAGGCTTAGGAACCATGACTAGTGTTAAAAAGCCCACTTCTGAGTTACATAACCAATGATCTAATGGCATTATTTTTACAAACTAGGCAGTACAGCATTTTGGAGCTGAGACTCAACTTATTAAATGATCCAGGATATTTTGAAAGCAACGTTCCAGTGCTTTTTCAACAATGGGAATATAGAACAGTTATTTGTAATTTGAAAGGTAGAAGACATCACTTTGGTGCTAATTTTAACTGCTGTATATCAGGGTCCCTTCATAAAGGGATGTACCAAGTATGGAAATATGAGTACAAGCCCTGTAATACCGGTAACTAATGAGAGGTCAAACCTGTCTAAGTTTGACCTTCTAGGAGAAATGGCATGGGATACTGGTATGCCCACAGGTAAGGCACACTTGTGATTATCCAGATTTGCCTCTGGGCACACCCAATGCCTTAAATTCATCTTGATGAAGAGCCTTTATCAGGCAGCAAAAGCTTTAACCAGAAGACAGGTCAAACTGACAATGAGACCGCACATCATCTCTACCATGTCTCATCCTTTCAGAGAACATTTACTTCTAGAATATTCAAGGATGAACTATCTCCTTTTAAAGAATATGTACTGCAAAATTTCCTTAAGAGTATATCAGCCACACAGATAATGCAGTAAATGTATTAGCAAAGGGGAGAAACATCTCCAGGTTAATGAAGGGGTTAATTTATTTTGTGTGTAGTTTTTACTTTTCGGGGTGTGACAACCTGACCAGAACTGCAGGCGGTGTGCCTTTTGTTTTTTAATGAATTAAGTTAATATCACTTTTTTTCTGTTATTAATGTAATACATTTGCTTTTTTAAATTTCATTGTTTTCTTTTAGGAGTACTTTATGTGGGATTTTGGTATATGATTATAAATACTCCCCACCCCAGAGTTCCTAAGGACATTTTTGCCCTTTTTTTCTCCCAGTTCATTAGCAAGCTGGTGCTTTTCACTGACATGTTATTTTTCATTTCAAATAAATATATCCACACAGGCCACCCATGGGGACCAGGTACCAGTGACCTCTCATAGAAATGGTCTCTCTAAAACACTGTATTTACATTTGCAAAAATAAAAACAAGGATATATTAGGGTCCAGATGACAAAAAGTGGTCTCCTCTAATATCAGGTGGTCTATTTTAAAGAAAGTGGTCTTGAAAGTTTTGCTGTGTTATTTTTGCTAATGATTTATGTAAACTGGGAATCTCTGAAATGCTGATTTAAAAAAACAAATTTTCAGTTATGACTTGAAAACTGTATGATGGTGGTTACTTACTAAAATATCCTGTTTTCTCCCTGTCTCCAATATAGCAAAGCACTTACATTCATGCTTCACTTTAAACATGTGAGTAGATTAAAGTCAAGCACATGGTTATATGCTTTGCTGGATCAGGGACTTTGTCTTTTTTCTATTTCTTTGTTCTCTGAATAGTTTTTCTATATTGTACCTTCCTGTTTCCTTCTAGTTTTGTCTCATGGTTTTCTTCCTTTGCTTCTTCCCTTTCATCTTTCATACCATCTTTTCTTGCAACATTTTTGTTAATTGTTTTATTTTGCCCACTCTTATTACTTTATCCTTTCTGCTACATTGTTTTCCAACCTTTACCTCTCTATAATCAGATATTTTGATCTGATAAAAATATCAAACCAAATCATCAATAAAGATGGTACACTTTTTTATAGCTTTTTTATTTAGTGTCTAAAATACTAGAAAATAAAGACCAGTTTAGTTTTACAGCTAGTTTAGGATTTTTGTTGTTGTTGTCACAATTAAATAATTGTATGTATAAATTTGGTTCTTTGTGAAATATACTTGCTTAGAATCATTTAAAATATCATTTGAAAAATACTGTCACTACAGAACATTTTATTTTGTGTCACTTTGTGATTTCAAGAGGTCAAATGTTAATGGTACATGGCTTGGTGGTGAAACTTCTACAGGTTATCTTGGGTTTTGTAATAATTATTTTTATTTTTGCATGGCTCTGTGTATAAATACCATGTACCTGGACTGGGGCATGCTGGGGAGGGTGGAATTCTACTTTGCGTTAATTCCATTGTTTTCTCACAGCAATTGCTTCAGTAAATCCTCCCCGCCACTCTCCTGCAAGTACCCATGTATTCCCTGCTGTTGCACATAATGGACAGAGCAATAACTGAGCAGTACATCTTTCTCATGTGATGAGACTTTCAAAACAAGTACATTTTTATTTAAAAGCCATAACCCTTACTACTACTGCTAGTTTATCTCTTGCCTACCTATCTTCCTCCTGCCTTAGCCCCATCCCAGCCCATACGTAGGCCAAGGCTTGTGCAAGAGTCTTCACAAGACAGTTTGCCAGGCTTTTAGAACTCTCTCTGGACCATTTTATCCCATACAAAGGTGCTGGATGGGGAGAGGGTGAGAATTTCACCCATTGTGTCTCAGTCACTTTTGTGTCCGTGTGGAGTACATCCCTGCATGAAAATCCTAAGAAAATTTTGAGCTTAATGCTTGAGTGTTCTGGCCACACTCCAGCAAAGAACTAAGTACATGCTTAAAGACAAACTTTCAGCCCCGGAGTGCTCAAAATTTTACGTGTTATATGGGACTTAATCTTGTATTACAGACTTACAGATTCTGTCCGTCATTCTTCTTATTTGTGGAGCCAAATGGGATTTACACTGATGTTATTTCATTTTGTCTCACCATCCACTTTTAATTTTAATTGCCATATTTAGACAAATCTTTGTCTTATGCACAAAGAAATCATGAAGACATCTCTGGGCATGTCTACAGTAGGAAATTATTTTGAAGTAACTAAATTTGAAATAATAACTCCCGAAGTAACAAAATTGAAATAGCATGTCCCCTCTATGGGAAATCCTCAAAATTACTCCAAGGCAAGCTCTGTTATTGTGGACAAGCTACCTCTACTTAGAGCCCCTGGGAGCACTGGGGAGTAATTACTTTGAATTACTCTGTGGAATGGTTATTTTGAAATAGCAGCAGTGGAGCATCCACACTAATATTATTTCAAAATAACTATTTTGAAATAAGTGTTATTCTCTGAAGAAAGCAGGAATAAAGATTTTGAAATAAACCGCCCTTTATTTTGAAATATTGAGTTTGGTAGTGTGGACGCGCCACTTATTATTTCAAAATAAGGGGGTTATTTCAAAATACTTCCTTAATATAGACCAGGGCTCTGTGATGGAGCATGAGAACCAGTGGCCCAACTCAGCAAAGTTCTCCTTTACTTTAATAGTGCAGGATAACCCTATAGATTGGCAACTGGTAGAACAGATTCTGCACAAGAGTGTAAGGAGGGGTATTTTGACCATCGAAAATCGGAAAGAATCAAATGATGTGGAATCTTTAATGTCCAAGTAGAGCTGACAAGGCCTTTAAGGGCTCATCCATCTGTAAAGACATACTTTAATCTTTACAGTCCCAGAAGCAATTGAAAAAAATATCATAATTGTATTTTTCAGTACTATAAATTATATTCACATCATTCGTATTGCTACAGTTTATTATTTCTACATCTTTTCAGCTCCAAATTAATCTAATTTGGGTATCCTGCAGTTAAAACTCAGCGATTGCCTTTTCAACCTACTAATACCAGTCAAATATTAATTATGAAATTAGTCTGTGCGGGAGAACTATTTGCTGAAGCACTTTGTTGTTATATATCTGATTTTCTTGACTCTTATAAGAAGTTTCACCTTTTTTAAATGGAATGTACAATATTTAAATGTACCTGTATTAAAATGCTTAATTATGGATATGATGTGATGGGGCATTGTTTCTACACATTTCTTGTAGACATCAATTGATTTCTAAGACATTATATACTTTTTACATTGGTATGCTGAAATTTTCAGCTTGTATGTTAGATGTTCAATATGATTACTTGGCATACACTGGCATTGTAAGTGCTGTAATATACTTTTTATTAATAATCTTTATTATAATTATGATTATTTAGAGAGGATTTTTACTCCTTTTGAATTAGTTCAGATAGCTAGAAATGTCTAAGCTTTACTACAGGTTCTTTACTTAAATACTAGCTAGTGGGAGGAGAGCAACATTTGTTTTTTCTATCTCTTTTACCACCTTATTATGTGCTTTTTTCAGCCAAATCAAGCCTGTTTTTCTTCTTGATGATGTAAGAGCATTGATTTGTGTTTTGCTTTTGATCTCAATAATTCAGAGCATTATTCAGAATTATTATTATGTCAGTCAGAACATTTTAAGAGGGCTTTCTAGTCTAGAACAGATGACATTATGAAGGACTAAACACTGAACTATATCTCTAAGAGTTTGCAATGGCCATGGAATTTGAAAAATTGTATTTTTTTTAAATCTTCCAGTATATTTTAGTGTTGATATGTCCAATAAGGCTTTGTTTTGCTTTTTAAATAAATAGATACATTTCTTACTTATTTGGATTTAACAAATTCAGTAACCTAGAGGAAAAGAACCTCAAGTCACAGTTCAGTGCCCTATCTAATTGACAATGTATTGAAATATTAGAGACTAAAGGGTTAAATATTCAGCATGTCAGCAGGTATAGAGATTTAGTCAAAGGACTTCCATCCAATAAGTGAGAATAATACTTACTTCATTGTAAGATGCAATGAGATCTATAAATGAAAAGCACTACATAAGAGCTAGATGTTATCATTATAAATGGCTTTGCCATTTCACTTAATTTTAAGAATAAAGATGCGAATTTCCTGGACAAAGGAGATTTTTTTTAAAAAAAATGTTGGTGCAAAGTATTAAAACAGGACTTATAATGAATTGTTGATCACTTCCTTAAATATGAAGCATGGCCCTGACTTCATAACCAGAGAAGTCCAATTAATTCCCATGGATCATGCTGAAACTTTACTCCACACCATGAGAGCAGCAGTGCGGATTTCGTTTTCAATTAGTGCACTGTATCTGTGTTCCTGTATTATTTGTATTTGTTACAATATGTTGTAAATACTTTCCTTTTTCCTTTTGTAAAATAAATGTTTATTTATATTTTCTCCTGTCATTTGTAAATGGCAGATGATCTAACTAATAAATCATAAAACCATTTACATGACTTGTTTCAATTTTGGGATGAATTTTTCTTTTTAATTATTTATTAAATTATCTCAGAGGGGTAACTGTGTTAGTTTAAAATTTTAAAAACAATGAGTAGCCCTGTGACATCTTAGAGACTAACAAAAATATATAGGATCATGAGCTTTCATGGATAGAAGTGGGTTTTACCCATGAAAATTCATGAGTCTATATATTTTTGTTAGTCTCAAAGGCCAGGTCTACACTAGAGGGGAAAATTGACTTAAGATTCACAACTTCAGCTATGTTAATTATATAGCTGGAGCTGACGTATTTTAAATCGTGTTTTCATACCATCCACACTGCAGGACATTGACAGGAACAAATGCTCCAATCGGCTTCCCTTACTCCTCGTGAGGTGCAGGTCTATAGGCACCGATGGGGGGCCCTCTAAGTTCAAATTAGTGTGTCTTCACTAGACCCACTAATTTGAACTCTGCAGAAGCGTCGATCTTCCCCATAGTGTAGACATGGCCTAAGGTACCACAGGACTAGTCGTTATTAAATTATGCAATTGTTATGTGTTGTTTAAAGGACTGTCAAGTAGAATAGGTCCCAAATTTCACTGGCATACTTTACAAATGTTATGAAATTATGGAAAATTATCTCTATATTGTAAACAATAACTTCAGTTTTTTTAAATAAATTATCACTCCATGATATGTTTTAAAATGAACCATTTTGCAAGAAACAAATGAATCACAATTGTCTACTGCTGTCTAATCAGCAGAAATTCAGGTAATTAACATGTGCCCAAGTTATGCTTATATCATTGGTAAAGCTTTTGCAGAAATAGAAAGTAAACAAACCTAAACTCTAAATCATGGGGTGTTCCTATCCTGCTCAAAAATAAAAGCAGCACACACTGTCCAGAGTCAAAACTCATCTCTTCCTGAACACTGGCTTTAATAAAGAGATATTAAAATAAACTTTTGTTCAAGGCTTTTTGGATTATTTAGATTATTTATATTAAATTAATACCTAAAGACTCTGCCTGACATCAGGACTTAATTTGGTTACATATTTATACAAACACATAGCAAGAGACAATATCTGCCCTGAACAGTTTACAATCTAGATTGATCAGACAAAGAATGGCAGGGGAGATGTAGTGACCTGACAAGATCACAAAACAAGCCAGTGACCTAGTCAGGAAAAGAACCTTGACTTTCAGTGCAGTGCTCTATATACTAGACAATTTTGTCTTCCTTTGGGTATTCCTAGGATTCTTCCCCTTTCATCTATCTGCTCAAGATCCTACATTCTGTTCACTGTTCTATTCAGGATGAAGTTTAACAAGCCTCCCCTAGCCCTGTGAAGCAACAGGACTTGATTAGTATCTCAACAGAGTTCCAATACATGGATGTTTCCACAGAAGATCTAGTCCACCTAAAGACCAGCTACTTACCCTACAAAAGTGACAAGGAGTCTGGTGGCACCTTATAGTCTAACAGATGTACTGGAGCATACGCTTTTGTGGGCAAAGACCCAAAGATACATCTGACGAAAGCATATGCTCCAATACATCTGTTAGTCTATAAGGTGCCACAGGACTCCTTGTCGCTTTTGCAGATCCAGACTAACACGGCTACCCCTCTGATGCTTACCCTACAGTAACTGGTTCTTTGAGATGTGTTATTCACATGAATTCTACCCTTGGTGCACAGGTTCCCTGTGCGTGAAAGATCAGATTATTTTCACACTTGTGCCCTAGCTGTCCTCCTGTCCCCCATTTCTGGGGGTATAAAGGGCAAAGTGGGCCCAACTGTCCCTCAGTTCCTTCATCAATACAGAACTCCAGCAGGGTAGAACATGGTAGTAACAGAGAAGGAGGGTGGAGCATGGAATCCATGTGGACAACACATCTCAAAGAACCACAACTACTTCAGGGTAAGTGACCATTCCCTCTTCTTCACGTGATTGTCCATGTGAGCTTCACTCTAGCCTGTAGTTCCTTATTTGCTTGGAAGGCATAAGGCATTCTGTGTGACAGGTTGGGTCCCAGAGATCCCCCTGAGACTGTCACCTGATGAGCTGACCATACTACTGAGCCTAACTATCTGCCTCTAGGGTGCTCCTCCACCCTGTTCTGCTGAGCCAGAACCTCTGGTCTTCCCCAGCAAAGGCACAGAGTTGGGTAACAGGCTCCAGCAGAGCAACACAGACACTAAGAGCAGCTCAACTCTGGGAAGGCTCAGTCACAGGGGGATGTCTACGCTGCAGAGTTTTTCCAGAAAAGTGGTTGTTTTCCCGGAAAAGCTACACTTATGTCCACACTGCTATTGTGTTCTTTTAACAGAAAATCCAAAGAACAGAGGGGTTTTTCCAACAGCGGTAAACCTCTTTCTACGAGGAAGAAGCCTTTTTCCGAAAAAGCTTTTTTGGAAAAAGGCATATGTGGACGCAGAAGAGAGTGTATTTTTGAAAGAAGAGACCTCCAAGAAAAAGCACAGGTGCCCTGGTGGCCACTCCGGCGGGAGTAATCACAACTGAAATGCGAGATAGCGTCCAATGAATGTGGAGGCTAGCTTTTGAAAAAGCAGATTGCCTTTTCATTGCACTTTTGCTGTGTAGATGCTCTCTTTCAAAAAAAGATTTCTGGAAGATCTCTTCCAGAAAATCTTCTTTTGAAAGAAGCCTACAGTTTAGACATAGCCAGGGACTTGACACAACACCCAGGAGCACAGACCCAATGGGATCAAATCCCCAGATATATCTGTCTTACTCTGCATAAAAATTTTACACAGAGCAAGCTCATCTATTGTTTTCACCTTTTATGGAAAGAGAGAGATGAACTGCTGTTGCCCCTCACCTCACATAACAATTATTAAACTGAGTCATAGTTGAATGACTTATGATGTGACTAGATGATTCTAACTTGTCTAACTCATACAGTTGGAGACCTGCTTAGATAACCTCTGTGAGGATATGACTTGCCCCTTATCTCTGTCAGCAAAGGTCACAAATAGCCTGGGCATGTTCTTGAATACGTGTTTCCTGTTGATGTAACCTTAACACAAACCCTTACTACAATAAGGCTACGTCTAGACTGGCATGATTTTCCAGAAATGCTTTTAACGGAAAAGTTTTCCGTTAAAAGCATTTTCGGAAAAGAGCGTCTAGATTGGCAGGACGCTTTTCCACAAAAGCACTTTTTGCAGAAAAGCGTCCGTGGCCAATCTAGACGCGCTTTTCTGCAAAAAAGCCCCGATTGCCATTTTCGTGATCGGGGCTTTTTTGCGGAAAACAAATCTCTGCTGTCTACACTGGCCCTTTTGCGCAAAAGTCTTTCGGAAAAAGACTTTTGCCTGAACGGGAGCAGCATAGTATTTCTGCAAAAAGCACTGATTTCTTACAGTAAGAAGTCAGTGCTTTTGCGGAAATTCAAGCGGCCAGTGTAGACACAGTTGCACACAGTATTCAAGATGTGGGCTTATCATGTATTTATAACACAGTATTCAAGATGTGGGCTTACCATGTATTTATAAGAATTAATAAGATATTCTCTGTCTAAATAAATAAACTCAATAAAAAGAGATTATCCTATTAGATTCTATTATTTGACCATAAACACTTAAACTTAAGTTTGACAATTTGAGTATTAGATTTTGACTTTAAAATCTAACTGGCATCTCAGCAGATTCATAAAAATTGACCTACTTTCATGCTTAAACCAGGGAGAAAGCTGGTGCTGAGTTGCCCAAGTAGGAAACCTCTTCAGTGTAATCTTTTAAATCAATCTGGCTGAAGATTTCCATTCAGAACAGAATATCTGAATCTCAAGTGAATGCTTTGCTTGGTGTACATCATGCAGGCAGTTGCATGTAACAACTTGGCCTAGGCGTTGAATCTCACTATTTTTCTGTGAGACTATGTCAGGCAGGGCCAGTAGGGTTATGGGGGGGCTGAGCGATCCATCTGATTGGAATACCGAAACCATCTGGCCCATGCTAGGGCTATCATAATTACCAGTCCTACATTTTATCTTAGTTTCCTCAGTATCAAGGGAATTGATGGAAAGACATACATCAGTCCCAGTGTTCAGGAAAGAAGGAAGACATCTGTCAGGGACCAAAATATCCAGCACCTCTTATTCTAGTCTATAACAGGTCTAATTATGGGAATTCCTACTTGCAATAAGGACTGAGTTTTTGACAGACCATTTTATGATTGTCTGAAAACTGCCTACTACTGAGTTGTTCTCAATTTTGTCAACCGAAAGTAAGAGGAGTCTCTCTAGGTACCAGCTGAAACTGGAGCCAGAAACTGGCCCTGACCATTTCTATTGAAATTGCACCAATGTGGTGGTGCCCTACACAACTGCATATGCTGTGTATGCCTAAGGATGGTCCTGGAAATAGTACATAGTACCAAATGGAATTAGTTAAAGTATTTACATGTACTATGGTATCTTGAAAGAGCAGAAATACAAAGGGATACTACCCAGAAGTAGTATCTAGAGTCTATTATCTGCAATAATGCTTCTATCAAGAACTTTCTACAGGCATAAGAAATTATATATACAGTATCCCACAAAATCACATATAAAGGAATGTTTCTGCATACTGAAAAAAGCAGTCACTGTCTAGCAGGAAAGAAAATAGATGGTCTGGTATCCAGAAGCACCCTGCTCTTCACACCTATCCTGTCTTTCATTTCCTTTCTTACTGAGCAGCAGTCATAGCATCTGCTTTGAACAGAAATATGTTTCCAACAGTTCTTAAGCAAATTCTTAATTGTGCCACTTTGCTCTAGCTAACTCTATTATCCTTCTTATGCATCTTGCCATGAATAATGGAAGCCATTGTTCCAATAGTAATCACAAAGATGAACAGAAAATGGTCCATAAGGCATTATGTATCATCCATGAATAGATTAGAAATGATCCCATATAGGTATACAAATAAATTAACTGTAAGTGATTTTTTCACCCCCTGTAGCGCCTTTACACTGGATAAAAGGG